CTAATGGGCAGCCAGTGCAAATCCCTTCCTACAGGCATGAGATGTGCCTGGTAAGACAGACATGGTCCAAATGGAAGTTACTCTGCCCGTCCAATTATTTAGTTGACTACCAATATTGCTCATTAACCTGACAAAAAGAAATGGAGCACCAGATGCTAAAATACGACTCATTCTCTTTAACCAGGAAGTGGACCTGAGGTGGAAAGAAGTTCTGTAGCAAAACCTTTGGCCACTGCATTTGAAAACGTGTCCTGGGTTGCAGTGAAACAAACGAGTTACCATCCTTTGTTGGGCAGGCACAGTGGGGAACAGGTGTTAGCAGAGAAAAGGACAGGCAGGCGCTGTAGTTTTCACCATGAGTCGCCTCCGTGGCTCAGTAGGTGCATAGGAAAAGGATGTGGGTGGAGCGGGTGGTCAGGCAACAGGCTCACACCTTTAAACTGTGCCTTGGCCAGGACATTGGGTGCAGCATCTACAGAAGCGTTTTTTCTTCGCTAGGCTGGGGGAAGGAGTGTGAAATGTTGCAGAAGCAGCAGCAAGCAAAGACCCATCTATGTGCACGCTTCATGCTACATGCATACTTTGGATTTGAATAAAAGCATATTATAACTTCTTATTTTCCAAGCTAACTAGCATACCTAATTTTATTTGCATTGTCCTCAATTCTGCATCCTTATAAAAAAAAAATCTTATTTATAATTTTCATTTATATACGTTACAATAGTTCAACAATAATTCTAGCATATCAAACCTCGGCTTCCTTCCCTCTTTTTCTGCGGTTCTTTACATTTATTTTCTTCATTTCCTGCATACTCCGAATTATCTTCACTTATTCTTTTATGCTCATATATATCTCATATATGTTTAAAACAACAACAACAACAACTGCAGGGATTTACAATAATCTTGCCCATGTCATAATGTCTGTTTACAATTTATTTGTAAATATTCACTGAACCATTTCCATTCCTTTCTAAAAATCTTTAAGATAACAGATTTGTAAAAAAACCCCAGAAGCTTTTCTTTTGGGAATTATAGGATTAGAACTACCTAAACAGTATAGAAATTTATTTATGTATGCAACTACAGCTGCCAGAATGTTATTTGCCCTCAAATGAAAAGAAGTTCAGAAGAGAGAAGACTGGCTACAGAAATTAATGGACCATACAGAAATGGCAAAACTCACCGTAATATAAGAAATCAAGACAACAAACTTGTTATAAAAGAACAAATGACATCCTTGGTCCTGTTTCTGATTTTTTTGTTATTTGGGGGGGGGGGGATACAAAACAACAAATACCACATGGAAGGAAATTGTGCTGAGAATCATAGAGGTATTACTGGGTACATAAATGCACTTGTTGATGATCAGAAATAACTCCAGGTTTCTTTACAAGGAATAAATTGAATATTGAAACATTTCTGCTCTCATCATGTTTAAAAACATGCAGCCAGATCTTGATTTCATTTTTATGTGAACTTCAAATGACAATTCCCTCTCCCTTTACTTATTCAGAGACCCTTCACACTTGTGTGGCACTGATCATTTAAAAAGTCAGCTTTAACTTTGTGGGTTGCTTCCAACCATTTATTTATTTTTAATGAAAATTCATCCGCATTTACTTCAGATTTCTCCCACATTTTTGCAAGCAATTTCCTTTGAATTTTTGTATATTATTTAAATGAGTGTCTGCACTTTTATAGACACCAGTATATGCATATTTGTGCATATTTTGTGGCTGAGGAACTGCATTGCAAAATTCAAGCACAAGTGCGAATTTTGAAAGACAGTTTTGTTTTGTTTCGAATAGTGCAATTTGGGTAGTTTCTCATGAAAATGCAAACAAAATGGAAATTCTTCCCCATCCCTAGGTGCCATGCACCCTTCTGTATTTCCGTCTCGTTATTCAAACAAAAATACTGCTTATAAGGGTACAAACGAATTTTCTACAAATAGGATAAATCTAAAGGAAAAGGAAAATCATGTCCGTCTGTCAACTGATACATTACAGTGGAATCAGACAAAAACTGGAAGATACGAAGGGGTCTGATCGGAGTACCTTGTTTCTGAGCCCCAGCGGCAGTTCCTGATGCAGCCCTCCTAGACTGGAAGTTCAAAGCAGTATAACCATCTTCGCCCTCCATTGGCAAGCAAAGGCTGCAGAGAAGCCTCTCAGGGCTGTCAGGGCTGTCGAAGGAGCACTGGAGGTTTGCTGCTATAGCCTGAGTTGATGGCCAAAGATCTCTTTCCGGAGCAGCTCTTCTCTTCAACCACAATACCAGTCACACATTCGCAGCCTTATTAGGTGGTTAGGGCAGGTTCTTCTTTTAAAAAAAACATTATTGTGAGTTGCTCAGTTTGTATTGTTCAGCTTTTAGAATGGAGTTTGACTTTTGGAAAGATGCCTAAAACAGGCCCCAGTTATGGATTATAGCTAAACCATATAGAGATGTGACTGAGGCTTCCAGTAAGTGAGGCTGGATAGCTCAGTTGGTTAGAGCGTGGTGTCTAGATCCTTGGGGTACCTTCCAGCTCTACAATTCTATGATTCTCTGAGTGGGGAGGAGTAAAGGTAAAAGGTAAAGGACCCCTGGACGGTTAAGTCCAGTCAAAGGCGACTATGGGGTTGTGGCGCTCATCTCGCTTCCAGGCCGAGGGAGATGGCGTTTGTCCATAGACAGCTTTTCTAGGTCTTGTGGCCAGCAGGACTAAACAGCTTCTGGTGCAACGTGACACCATGCCAGAAACCAGAGCACACGGAAATGCCATTTACCTTCCCGCCAAAGTGGTACCTATTTATCTGCTTGCACTGGCATGATTTCGAACTGCTGGGTTGGCAGGAGCTGGGACCGAGCAACGGGAGCTCACTCCATTGGGGGATTCGAACCGCCAACCTTCTGATTGGCTAACCCAAGAGGCTCAGTGGTTCAGACACAGTGTCACATCCTACATCTGCCTATGCAGGGGCTCTCTTGAAATGTAGGTGTTGGTCAGGGAAGGAGTTTTCCACCACAATGACTTTCCTTCTTTGGAATGGTGTATATAGGTTGGGCCCCCTGCCACACTATTAGTATTTTATTTATTATTTTGAAATATTTTTTATTTATTTTGCAAATACAAAATTATAATAATCCGAATATATATCCATATGCAGAGATTCCTCTGAATCTCGCGACTTCCCCCCCCCCATGGGGTTCCATTTTGAACCTTTACAACTGCATATACTTCCAAACTATAACTTTTATATCAGTCCATATTGTCCATGGTAATTGTTTACAACACAAGTGGAATCAAAATCCTGCCAGTATTTCCATCTGCTTACTGTGGTCTCCTAAATAACTTTAAAAAATTTCCCATTCTTTTATAAAGTTTTTGTCCTCTTGGTTCCTGAGTTTTCCAGTCTGCTTTGCCATTTCCACATAGTCCAACAACTTGGTTTGCCATTCCTCTCTGGTAGGGACTCTGTCTTCTTTCCATCTCTGGGCTGGAAGGACAGATCCTGAAGCTGAAGCTCCAATACTTTGGCCACCTCATGAGAAGAGAAGACTCCCTGGAAAAGACCCTGATGCTGGGAAAGATGGAGGGCACAAGGAGAAGGGGACGACAGAGGACGAGATGGTTGGACAGTGTTCTCGAAGCTACCAGCATGAGTTTGATCAAACTGCGGGAGGCAGTGGAAGACAGGAGTGCCTGGCGTGCTCTGGTCCATGGGGTCACGAAGAGTCGGACATGACTAAACAACAAATTAGTATTATTACCCAGTCATGCTGGATATGAGCTGGTGGAAGACAAATCCCCCAAGGATCAGTATAGAATAATAGAATCATAGAATTGTGGAGTTGGAAGGGACCCTAAGGGTCATCTAGCCCAACCCCCTGCATTGCAGAAATCTCAACTAAAGCATCCCTGACAGACGGCCATCCTACCTCTGCTTAAAAACCACCAAGGAAGGAGAGTCCACCACCTTCCAAGGGACACCGTTCTACTGATGAACAGCTCTTACTGTCAGAAAGCTTTTTTCTGATGTTTAGTGTTGGAGCCTGTGCTTTTTAACTTGTTCATACATGATCTAGAATTGGGGGTGAGCAGTGGTTGAGATAGACATGCTTGCTTGCTCAAGATTGCTGCTGTTGTTGGAAGATGTTGCTGGCATCCATCTGTCTCATAGGGTGGTGAGAAGGAAAAGGGGATTGCTGGGCACTCCAGAAGGGCATATCTAAACTGGGTGAATGAAACAGGCAGTAAAATGGCAAATGCAATTGTATGTGAGCAAGAGTATAAGCAATGCACGTAGGCACAATATATATATATATATCCCTTTTTCACATATACATGAATGGGGTCTGGTGGTGACTCACCAGGAATGAGACCTTGGGCTTGCAGTGGGCAATTCCGTGCAAATGTGGACCCAGTGTGCAACAGCTGGGGGGGATCATTAGGACAGGAATTGAAAATAAAATTGCCCATATCATAACTCCTTTATTCAACTCTTTGGTGTGGCCACACTTGGAATACTGCCCAGTTCTGCTTGCCCCATCTCACAAAGGATATTGTGGAGATGGAAACGTTCAGAGACAGGAACAAAAAATGATCAAGGGGCTGAAGCCAAGTTCCTTTTCTGAGGAGAAGTTATGATGTTTGGAGCTTTTTTAGTTTGGGAAACAAAGTTAAGGCGAAAACATGAGAGAGGTGACTAAGATAATGAACTATGTGAAAACACTGCCCAGAGAAAGGTGTTGCCCCCCCCCCCCACGGTCACTCATAAGGCTAGAAATTGGAGCAACCCAAGGAAGACAAATGTTTGGAGATTCAGGGAAGAAAAAAGGAAATACTTCTTCAAGCAGTGCATAGGGAAGCTGTGGCACTCACTCCCAGAGGATGCAGCAAAGACCACCAACTGGGATGGCTTTTGAAATATACTCAGAGTCGCAAAGTGATTTCATGCTCTTTATTCAGCTCATAGTGGTGAGGAGGAATGAATGAAAGTCCCCTCAAAGTATCTGCTTTATATACATTATTTACACAATGGGCTGCACATGATTGGCTAATTCTGGATTTCTACTGTAAGTCAATCAGGTTGTGAATTCACTTCTATCTGGAGCATGATTGGGTGGTTCCTGCCAACCAATCATACTGCTGCATTGTTCTAGGACCAATCAGATTGCTGCATTCTGAATCCTATTGTTCTAGGACCAATCAGACTGCTGCAATTTGGATCCTATTGTTCTAGGACCAATCAGACTGCTGCAGTTTGGATCCTATTCAACTCAGTACATAACAGCTTTAAAAGAGGATTAGACAAATTCATGGAGGAGACAGCTACCAATGGCTACTGCCCATGATGGGTTTAGTCTCGTTCTGCTGCCAGAGGCAGTATGCCTCTGAATGTCATTTGTTGAGAATCAGAAGTGGGGAGAGTGGCTGCTTACTGGCTGCCCATTGGCCTGCACTGTGAGAATCGGATGCATGGAACACTAGACAAGGGTTCTTCCAGGTGAGAATCTTGCCCTTTAATATATTATTGTTGTTGTTTAGTCATTTAGTCATGTCCGACTCTTCGTTACCCCATGGACCAGAGCACGCCAGGCACTCCTGTCTTCCACTGCCTCCCGCAGTTTGATCAAACTCATGCTGGTAGCTTTGAGAACACTGTCCAACCATCTCGTCCTTTGTCGTCCCCTTCTCCTTGTGCCCTCAATCTTTCCCACCATCAGGGTCTTTTCCAGGGAATCTTCTCTTCTCATGAGGTGGCCAAAGTATTGGAGCTTCAGCTTCACGATCTGTCCTTCCAGTGAGCACTCAGGGCTGATTTCCGTAAGAATGGAGAATGATCTTCTTGCAGTCCAGGGGGGAAGGAAGGGGGGGAAGGTGGTCAGGAAATTCAATGCGTTTCCTGCTTTGAATCTGCAGCCTCAAGATAAGATAAACACAGCTTTAGAGAAGGACAAAAGAACGCCCCTCTCTTCCTTAAATCTTTCTTAAGATTTTTTTTTTAAGTCCCGCTGGATCAGTCCAATAATAGCTCATCTAGTCCAGCATCCTGTTCTCACAGTGGCCAACTAGATGCCTCTGGCAAGCCTTGTGATTTCCAGAAACTGGTGTTCAGAAACTGGCATTCAGAGGCTGCAGTGGAAACTGAACACAGCCATATAAGATTCAGGTAGGTAGCCATGTTCGTCTGACGCAGTCGAAATAAATAAATAAAAACATGAAAATGGTCCAGTAGCAATTACAGCCATATAAGTTTGTCTAAACTCCTTTGAAGCCATATGAGCTGATGGGTTTCTGCAGTGCTTTTTTTCTGGGGGGACGCAGGGGCAAGCATACCCCTAAACATTTTGTGGATCTAAGTTTGGCCTCATTGAGGGGCAGTATTTCAATATGAGTAGGAAAATGACAGTACCCCTAAACATTTTTTTTAAAAGAAAAAAAAAGCACCTGGTTTCTGCACGCGCTTCACTCATTTCTGAGCCACGGATGCAACCGATCTCAATAGACAAAAAGGATAGCAAATACATATAAATATATTTATATGTATTTGTTTAAAGCAAAATAAAAGTATATAATAATAATAAAAAAGGATAGCAAAAAGGAAATAGCAACGCCTTCCCACAAAGTGGAATCACTGACCACAGATGCAAAGAATTCGAAGCATTTCTGGGAGTCAAAAATCAACAAGGCATTTTGGCAGACATGAGCTTTTGCGCGTTTCAGCTCCTTTCCTCAGAACAAAAAAAGGCTATTTAAGTAGGCGTGGAAACTGGAGGAAAGCTAGGCGTGGAATAGGAGCTTCCCAAATGCCTTGCCTTGCCTTGATTAGTTGGTTTTAGCAAATAAGCATGAGAACCGGCTCTCTTTGGAGAAGGACTGGCCTGTTTGTCCCAAACATCTGGAGGGGGCGGGCGGCTCCTATCCCGGGGAGGAGCAAAGGAAATTGAAGTTGCCTCCTATTGCCGTATCTGCTGCTTGTTTTCCTGTTTTGCTCCGGGCGCTGGAGAAGCGTCAGGTGGGCTCGATCATTTTCTGCCTCCTGCTTCGTCATGGTAAGTGTTTTTGCCATGACGCTTCTCAGTGTCGCAGTTTGCTGTTAACGGATCGAACATGGAGGCTGGATCCCTGGAGAGCCACTGAACTTAGGTGACTCATCACAAGGTCCTGCCTCTCCCCCTTCAGCGCTCAGGCGAGGTGCACTCAAAAGAGATTCCTCCGGGGTAAGCTGCTGCTGGCACTTTCCCTCCAGTCCTCCTCGCTCGGTCGTGTCTGTCACCTGAGATCGCTAGCCTCAGAATCCCTTCTTTGGGGGATCGTATATCACTATTCAGCAGACGTCTGAGGCGCGCCCTGGCGTACAGGGAGCTGGAGACAAAGAAAAGGGGCGTGTCAGATGAAGTGGGCAGCGCAGGAAGGGAGAAAGTAAGGGATCAGATGGAATCCAGAATCTGTAGATTCTGTAGAATCTGCTTGCTCTTCCGGCCGACCTATTTCTGGAGCTTTCATCCTGTTTTACTGGCACAAAGCTCACCCGTGTGCTCTGATTTGTTGGTGGGTGGGCTTTGTGACAGCAAGCATTCAACAAGCATTTGGTTGTGGGGTGTTTATATGCCTTCTGGTTTCTTTTCTAAAGTGAATTTGCTGCTTCGTTTTAATTGCACAAACCCATTTCCCCCCCATGAGCTCCTGAATGCCTTCCACAAAATACTGACAACCCAGGGGTGCCTTACAATTGCAGGCAGCAGTGAGGGGAGAGTGCACACCAGAGGTTAACATTTATTCTGTATCCTGCCAAGGGACGCCAGCTGATAAGAGGGGGGAACAAGGGGAAAGGGCAGAGGGAAGTTTGGTGCCATCTGGTCCATCCATCCTGCAAGAAATAGCAGCTCTAGTCCTGCGTGGGTGTTGATTCCAGCTGGTGTGCCCAGAGACCATGACTGATTATTACCTAGGCACCTTATTAGTCTCTTGTTCCCTAAAAGCTCTGTAAGCAACTCACATTGAAGAACATCTACATATATACTGTATATTAAACCACGGGGGGGGGGGATAAAACAAGAAAAATGACATTAAACGTTAACATTCCATACAGTATCAGTGCTCCGCCCCCAGTAACAGTGATGCAGTGGTACCTTGGATTAAGTACTTAATTCCTTCTGGAGGTCCGTTCTTACCCTGAAACTGTTCTTAACCTGAAGCACCACTTTAGCTAATGGGGCCTCCTGCTGCTGCCGTGCTGCCGCCACACGATTTCTGTTCTCATCTTGAAGCAAAGTTCTTAACCCAAGGTACTATTTCTGGGTTAGCAGAGTCTGTAACCTGAAGCATATGTAACCTGAAGCGTATGTAACCCGAGTTACCACTGTACAGTATAAAACTGTATCTAAACATTAAAACAAAACGGAAGCTGTACGCCGGCTCCCTCGGCCAATAAAGCAAGATGAGCGCTGCAATCCCAGAGTCGGTCATGACTGGACCTAATGGTCAGGGGTCCCTTTACCTTTACCAAGGGTTGCAGTTCAGGAATCAATCGTTGAGGGTTCCCCTAAACAACCTGTTTAATAAGCATTCATGCTGACCTGCTTCCACAGAATTCAAGAGGTACCGTATTTTTCACACCATAGGGCGCACCGGACCATAGGGCGGACCTAGTTTTTAGATGGGGAAATCAATTAAAAAAATCTTCCCCCCCAGCCCCAAAGAGCAGTGTACAGGCTGCGCACAACCTCTCCCTGCCGGAGGGGTTGCGCGCGGCTATGGAACAAGCCAAGGCAGTGAATGCGATGGATCCCGCTGGCTGCTTTGGCTTCCTCTTTAGCCCCGCGCAATCTCTCCCTGCCAGGAGAGGCTGCGCAGGGCTAAAGAAGCCATAGCCCCGTGCAGCCTCTCCCTGCCTGAGGGGTTGCGTGCGACTATGGCACAAGCCTGCATTCGCTCCATAGGACGCACACACATTTCCTCTCAACTTTTTGGGGGAAAAACTGCGTCCAATGGAGCGAAAAATACGGTAGTTAGATTACATCTGGTCTTTACTGACTATTTGTTCTGATTTGCTCATGGGGTGGTTACACGGGCAGAAGGATTCCTTGTGCATTTCTCCTGATTTGATTGTGGAGTGTTTAATTGTCTTCCCACACTTTGTTCACCGAATATGTTTCAGTTCAGTTCACTGTCACTTTCCTAACTGCAAAAAGTCCATTTTTAAAAAGTGGATTTGTTCTGCTAGCCCGACAGAAGGCTTTAATTCACTTTTAAGTGCTCAAGTCTAACTTGAACCCGTCCTTCAACATACTGACAGCCTGGAGGGAGTTGGAATGTATTTATTACATGCGGGCCTAGGAGCCAACTCCTAGACCTACACTCAACAGCTGCTGCCACCACAAAAGCCTTTGGAGAAGATACTTCAGTTTTATTATTGCCAACATATTGTTTTCTGTCACCACACAAAAGGAGACTGTTTACCCAATAGAGAAAAGCACTGTTGATAAAACATAATGACTTCAGCACCAGAGAGTAAAGTGGAGGAGGGAATGGAATGGAAAGTATTCTAGAAAGGATATTTCTTCATGCACAATGGCCGAGAGCCTTAAGAAAACAATAATAACCTGTAAGCATGCAAGGATTTCTGCCCACATCTTAGGGCCTTTGAACTCCCCCCTCACCAGTAACTTTTTCATGTAGGGCAGGCATAGGCAAACTTGGCCCTCCAGATGTTTTGGGACTACAACTCCCATGATCCCTAGCTAACAGGACCAGTGGTCAGGGATAATGGGAATTGTAGTTCCAAAACATCTGGAGGGCTGAGTTTGCCTATGCCTGATTCAGGGAGTGTTTTTGAACCCTCCCCTCCCCCTCTGCACAACCATTTTGGATTCTAGACATACAAAATGATTGATTTATTCCTTTCCAACCTATTTCCAAAGAGGGTGGAAAGTATATGTTAAATGTTTTTAGATGCTTTCAATTGTTCTTCGGTGTTTTCAAGACCATTTTCAGCATTTTCATTTTGTTTTCTCGTTGTAGCCAGTGTGGTGTAGTGGTTAAGAGCGGTAGTCTTGTAATCTGGGGATCCAGGTTTGCGTCTCTGCTCCTCCACATGCAGCTGCTGGGTGACCTTGGGCTAGTCCCACTTCTTTGAAGTCTCTCAGCCCCACTCACTTCACAGAGTGTTTGTTGTGGGGGAGGAAGGGAAAGGAGAATGTTAGCCGCTTTGAGACTCCTTAAAGGGAGTGGAAGGTGGGATATCAAATCCAAACTCTTCTTGTATGCACGATGAACCTGGTTCAAACCATGGTGTCTCCCATTAAAAAGACTTATGGCGGTGCTGGGAAAGACCTTCGTGAGATACCTTGGTGAACTGCTGCCAGTCAGATCCTGCAGAACTGGAGTGCAAGGACCAAAGGCAACATACAGTCTTCTACAGTCAAAGGCAAGGATTGACAACTTTTCAAATCTATCTCTGTGGCCACATTCTGTCAGTGGTCATCTGTTGGGGCAAGCACCCCTTCCCTCTCTCTTTTTGTCCTCCTCTTTTCCTTCTCTTTTCTACCTGCAGAAATGCAGGCCTTGGTCCAGGAGCTGTCCTCTTTGCAAAAACATGTCAAAGACATTTTTAAGCATGTAGAGTTGGAAGGGATCCTGAGGGTCATCTAGTCCAACCCCCTGCGATGCAGGAATATGGAGCCATCCCATACGGGAATCAAACTTGCAACCTTGGCATTATCAGTGGCATGCAGGGATGGGGAGAAACTTGACTCCGTTCACCTTTAAAGGTAAACCTAGCAACTTTCTGAAGCAATAATGCAAGAACTGAAGCAAAAGCCATCTTTCAAAATGTGCACATTTTTGAATTTTGCAGTCCAGTTGAGTAATGTATACAGAAATGTGTATGTGTGTATATATATATATATATATATATATATATATATATATGGTAAAGTGTGCATAAAAATGCATATATTAATGAATATAACTTATAATGTTTTATACTAGGGAGGAAAATTGCTTAGCAAAAATGCACATTAGGCAACATTGCATATTTTGTCATATATTAGGAGAAATCAGCAATAAAATACAGGTACTTTTCATGCAGACTTTTTTTTTTAAATCACAAACTGACATGGAGAACTGAAGAGTAGAAAAGTGAGAAACTAAGAGAAACCCAAACTGGCAGGTGGGTTGTGCCAGGATGCTGAAAATGGCAGCATATCTTAAAAAGCTGTGTTGCAACACTGGAAACATGAGGGAGGTTATTTGAAATACAGGATTTGCCTGAGGAGTCTAGTTAAATAACTTCATTCACCTTAAGTCTCTAAAGTCACTTTAACAACAAGTGCCTAAACAACAAGGGTGTCTCTGGACCTTAAATTGAGGCTCATAAAACAAAAAATAATATTTAGAATATACTGGACCCCATTATGTTTGTTTAAAAAAGGGCTATCTAAGGTATCTAACTGTTGGGGATGCAATAGGGATAATGCTTCTCTAAAACACTTTTTTTTTCATTGTCCTATATTGAAAGATTTTGGTAGAAGGTAACTGAAACGATCAACAGAACTGTATGGAACCACCTTACATTTACAGAGCAAAATATCCTTTTGAATTATATGCCCAGCGCATGGTACCTTACAAAAGGACAATACGAGTGGACTCTCTGTGCCCTTAGCACAGCAAAAAGTCTGATACTGATGAATTGGAAAAATAAAAATGCGGCTCCCTTCTACGATTGAAGACTTATACAAACTCGCAACATGTAAACATCTTTCATATAAATGCAGACTTGCCATGGACAAATTCAATGATATTTGGAATCCATTCTCACAATTACTGTAATAGATTAAGATCTGGTGAAGTACAATACCAACTTTGTAAAGTATTCAGTTTTGGATCGTCCCGCTCGGGGCCCCCGTTACTTTCCCTTCAGCACGGGTTCTGTTTCTCTTTTTCTTTTTCTCTCTTTTATTTACCTATCACCATGTTTAAAAAGATAAAGGACCCCTGACAGTTAAGTCCAGTCGTAAACGACTCTGGGGTTGCGGTGCTCATCTCACTTTACTGGCTGAGGGACCTGATGTTTGTCCACACTCAGTTTTTCCAGGTCATGTGGCCAGCATGACTAAGTCGCTTCTGGTGAAACCAGAGCAGCACACGGAAATGCCGTTTACCTTCATGCCAGATCGGTACCTATTGATCTACTTGCACTTTGATGTGTTTTCAAACTGCTAAATTGGCAGGAGCAGGGACCAAGCAACGGGAGCTCACCCCGTCGTGGGGATTCGAACCGCCAACCTTCCAACTGGCAAGCCCTAGGCTCAGTGGTTTACACAACAGCACCACCCGCATCCCATGTTTAGTGCACATATAATTATGTACTTTTTAGCTTTCAATAAATATGTTTGGTTAAAAAAACCAAAACCCAAGTTGATTGATTAACACTGCTGGTAACAGGGACCTCTTTGTCTTCCCTGAAGGTTGAGAGCTGCTGTACTCAGCATGGAAAGATCCCAAGATGGCAGAAGATATCACAGGTGAGGCATAATAATCTTGTTTGTTTCACACAGTGGAGAACTAGAGGTGGCAGGGCAAAATCTTGAGGGCAAACCTCTCTCACTGACCCAAGGGATGAAACTCTTTCTATCCCAGAATGTTTTATCGGAGAGAGGATTAATTCTGGGTGTGGTGAAAAAGATACTTCCTTTCAGATACATTTGATGCCCCAGTATCTCTCTGTTACAATTTATTTACAGTCATACCTTGGTTGCCGAATGCCTTGGAACGCGTACATTTCAGCTCCCGAACGATCAAAAACCGGAAGTGAGTGTTCAAGTTTTTGAACAATTTTCGGAAGCCGAATATCCGGCGCGGCTTCTGATTGGCTTCAGGGAGCTCCTGCAGCCAATCAGAAGCCGTGCTTTGGTTTCCAAATATTTTGGAAGTCGAACGGACTTCCGGAACAGATTCCGTTCAGCTTCCAAGGTACGACTGTATATTGTATAGAAACTCCCCAAGATTGCTTTGAGAACTTAATTGAGCCATTTCCCAAGAACCTATGACCATCTGAGACCCACTCGGACCTCCTGAAACTTCTCAACACAGGTAGTAAAATCCCTGAGTCAAGTCGTAAAATCTGGGAGTCTTTGCTGTTCTTAGGCACCAGGTCATTTTCTGAACTGGCCCCAAACCTACCACAGTATACTGAATTTTGGTCCTATTCTAGAAATGCTTCCATCCCAGCTGGCACCTGGAGTTTTGTCCTAATTCAATTACAAAAGGTGAGGGGATTTCATATGTGGTGCCACAGATGAGAAGATAACACTGGTTCTTGATGACTTATGCTTACTTTTACAGATAGAGCCACTGTCAACAGTGAACTGATGACTCCTGAGATACCTGCTGCAAGGGAAGCAGGGAATGCTGGTAGATGTGTTTTCTGATTGTATATATGCTGTGCTTTTCCTCTGAAGAGGCCTGGCCTGATTTCTTCAGCATGGGGCTGAGGGAAAGTCCTCTTGCTTGACATGCGGGAGAGTCCCTGCCAGTTTGCAGAAACTATACCAGCTTAGATGGAACTGTGGTCTGGCAGTCAAAGAGAAATGTGGGGGGTGACAACTCACCATTGCTAAGAAGTAGCACAAAGAAAGAACAGGCAGACTTCATTAGTGGTGCATTGGGTTGGGTTGGAGCTGCAGAGCTTCTCTTCTGACACCGATGTTGCTTCTTCCTCGCGCAGGGCTTCTGCTGACAGAACTTGTTGGGTGAATTCCACCACCATCCCTGCTATTTAAAGCATTTTAAAATTGCATGCCTTTCCCCAAAGAATCCTGGAAACTGTACTTTATCCTCTCGTACAGCTGCAATTCTCAGCATGCTACAGTTCCCAGGATTATTTAGGGGAACCCGTGTGTTTTAAATGAATGGTATGCATGTGACCTGTTTCAGTCTTCCATCTTTTGGGAAATCCTCTTCTGGGAATCACCTCTTTCTCCACAGAGGAAAGCGAAGGGGAGGGAGGAAGACAGATTGCCTGAGCCTCCATAATCACATGCCCCGCTCTTGATTTCTCCCCTAGGGACAGGCCTGAGAGGAAAAACTACCCAAATAAAGATGACCTTGTGTGCTCCTTTAATGCATTAACATTTGTTTGTTTATATTTTCATTTATAACAAACATTTTTTAAAAACCAAACAATTCTCACATATCAAACTTCAATTTCCCTCTCTCTCTTTCAGTGGTTCCATAAATTTGCCGTTTTCTTCTTCTTCAGCATATCCCAATTAACTAGTCTCCTATAAAAATCTGGGTTTTTTTCTCATTTGGCGCATATACGCCAATTATAAATATTTTTCTCCCTGTGGTGTTACCTGCTTTACGTATTCTTCCTTGTTTGTCTTTAAATAGTTACTTGGAGTCCAACTCTGCTTTATATACATTACAACTCCTCTTTTTTCCCTTCTTCTTACGTCAGAGGTTACAAAGTCCTTCCCCAGCCTTTTATGAATCAAAATCCTTCTATGTTTCTTAGCAATATGCGTTTCTTAGAAGCAGATTACGTCCAAATGTAACTTCTTCGCTACATGCTCAATTTTACTTCATTTTGTTTTGTTATTAAGTCAATTTACATTCCAAGTTAAGATTTTTAATGCCATCTTGTTTTTATTTATTTTTCTTTCACTTTGACCTCTGTTGAGTCTACCTCTTCCTGTTCTGTTCCAGTCCAAATGCCCTTTCTCCTGCTAGCTCTTTCCCATATTTTCTCCAGAATTTATCTGTTTCTGTGGATCCTGACACCTTTGTTTTCTCCCTTTATACATAAAAGATACTCCCTCTGGGTATTCCCAACGTTACGGGATTTTGTTGTATCTCAGTGCATCCATCAAATACTTATACTTTACTCTTTTTTAAAACAATCTCATTTGTAGTCCAATGCTCTAGGACAGTAATGTTCTTGGACTACAAATCCCATCATCCCTGACCTTTGGCCATGTGGTTAGGTATGATGGAATTTGGAGTCCAACAACCACCAGAGCACATGATGTTTTGGGATGACTGTCTTAGAATACATCTCATGGAAAGCAGGCAGCTAAGGCAGGCATACCCTAAAGTCGTGGTTTGGAATGAATTTGCAGTGCCTTGTCTTGAATGTCAAATTCTCGCAAAACTGTAGCAACAAACAGACTGATTTGTTTGCTTTCGTGATCATCATTCATTTGGGTCCCCAAATGTTGTTGAACTACAACTCCCATCATCCCTAGCCAGCAAGTCCAGCGCTCAGGGATGATGGGAGTTGTAGTCCAACAACATCTGGGGACCCAAGGTTGAGAAACACTGCCTCAGACCCTTTCCCTTCTGTTTTTCAGTTTTCATCACAAAGTGCATTAAAGACAAAAAATATACATTAGCAGCTGTTGCCGTCATCACAGCTTTGGTCATTACTATAATCGCATTGGCTGGTGAGTAGAGAAACCTTGTGCTTTAACCCTGACATAATTATTTATGATTTATTGCTTCTTTCTGCCTTTGACTTGTAGATTCCTTCCCTCACCAAACTGCATTTCCTGCCTCATAATAATCCAATACAGTGGTACCTTGGGTTACAAACACTTCAGGTTACAGACTCCGCTAACCCAGAAATAGTACCTCGGGTTAAGAACTTTACCTCAGGATGAGAACAGAAATCGCACAGTGGCAGCAGGAGGCCCCATTAGCTAAAGTGGTACCTCAGGTTAAGAACGGTTTCAGGATAAGAAGGGACCTCTGGAACTAATTAAGTTCGTAACCAAAGGTACCACTGTATAGATTTCTGCTTTAGAGTACATTCTCAGGCTGCAGTTGAATTGAGGTAGGCCCGTCGTGTCTGCACTTCAGTAAGCACCATCGTGAGAATGGATTTCTCAGCCTTAATGTGTAGTTATTTATTTATTAAAAAAACTCTTCTAATAGGGTCAGTGCCGGATTTACGTATAAGCCAAACAAGATGTAGCTTAGGGCGCCACTCTCTTGTGGGCCCCAAAAAAATTTAAAGGGGAAAAAACTGGGTGTACATTTCCAAAATATAAGATAAAGGTAAAGGGACCCCTGACCGTTAGGTCCAGTTGTGGCCGACTCTAGGGTTGCGGCGTTCATCTCGCTTTATTGGCCGAGGAGCCGGCGTCCAGCCTCTGGGTCATGTGGCCAGCATGACTAAGCCGCTTCTGGCGAACCAGAGCAGCGCACGGAAATGCCGTTTACCATCCCACCGGAGCGGTACCTATTTATCTACTTGCACTTTGACGTGCTTTTGAACTGCTAGGTTGGCAGGAGCAGGGACCAAGCAACGGGAGCTCACCCCGTCGCGGGGATTCGAACCGCTGACCTTCCGATCGGCAAGTCCTAGGCTCTGTCGTTTAACCTACAGCGCCACCCGCGTCCCCAAAATATAAGATAAAAAAACAAATAAAATAAAACCTACATACAGCAACGGTGTTTTCTGTTGTGTATGGACCTATGAGGTCCATAAATTACTATATAGCATATATTCAAAACGAATAAACAGCGACAATTTGTTGTTGACAAAGGGCCCCATTACCTTCAGTAGCTTAGGGCCTCATCAAACCTAAATACAGCCCTGAACAGGGTATTCAGCTGAGTTCTGGAAATTTTGATGAAAAACACTAACCCCCCTCTTGCAAAGTCGAGGAAGTAAAGGAGAGGAAAATGGCTCCCTAATGATATCTGATTCGATGTTCTTTGAGATTTATGTGCTGTCTCCAAAACACTGAAACATCCTGCTCCATAAAATTCTTTAAAACAGGCAACAGATGAACTCTGCATTCTCTCGAGCTCTGCTCTCCACAACATAGCAAAGATTAGTTTAAAACAAATTGATTAAAAATCAGTTAAAACTCAAGTTCTAAATGAGGGTCTGCTTTGCTGCAAGACATGCTATATGCTTGAAAGATTAAATATTAACTGAGAATAGTGAGCTAGATGGTCTGACTCGGTGCCAGGCAGCTTCCTGTGGTATTTTTATCCTATTTTTCCGCTCATAAATTTGTATTTGCAAATTTGTATTTAACAGGAAGGATTCGAGACTGCCGGGACCAGAGGTTTACCGAAGACTGGGCTAAATTTATAGAGTATTTGAAAAGTATTTGCGACGATCAGATTACATTTGTAGGATTACAAGAAGTTCTGTGAGGAGTAATTTAAGAAATATTGTAAAAATGGAAAGGGAGAAATGATTTGTTAGAAAAGGTAAAGGCAATATTAGGTTAGGAATTGCAGGAGAAATAAGGATAGGATTATCAGAGGTGCTGAAGGAAGTCCAAATACAGTAAGGATATATGTGTAATAACTTGTGTGGTATGTCTTTAAAATTGTGTATGCTAAAAATTAATAAAAAATATTTAAATAACATAAATTTGTATTTGCACTAAGCAATGTGAACCACAGCAGTACAAATATATAATCTTTTAGTACGGGCATGAAATCTACCTGCCCAATAAACATACATAGCAGTAGTTGTTTAAAAAAGAAAGAAAGAAAAGATCATGGCTTTTCCAAAAGAACCCTGGGAATTATAGTTCACTGCTACCCATGCTACAATTCCCAAATGTTTCCCAGCTTCTGTCCTCAGTGTTACAGAATCATTGTGAGCTCTTACACTTGGGCAAATTGTTTCATTTCCAGTTAAAAAGCCACAGCCCTGTCCGCTGTGTCCTCCCCCTGTCGATGCTGCCTGCCCAGATCGCTGGGTTGGGTACCTAGGGAAATGCTATTATAAATCAGAAGACAAAAGGAACTGGAGCGACAGTGAATCTAGATGTTCCTTCCTTGGTGCCTCTTTGGCTGTGATTGATACCAAGCCGGATCTGGTAAGGAACAAGTATGTATCCTCACTTGTGGGCTCATCGCCGGAAGCAAACAAGTACAGCTCCACCTGTAACTTATATTCTGGGTTTAATAATAATAATAATATACTAAATTTACAACAGGGTTCATGACACTTCGCAGAGCAACATAAGCAAAGTGCCCCAAGGAATTTGCAATCTTATCTTTGCGGCAGTGGGGAAGACAGCAGAAGGAGAGGTGGGAAGGGAGCAAGGAGTGGTGAATGGCAGTAAGAGATGATGTCAGGAACAGGAGGGAGGGAGGGGCATGGTGGTGGGGAGAGCAATGTGTAGCTGCCCCAACAGAGCCAGTCTGGCACCCCCGCTGCTGCCCTTGCACCCTGCCAGCCTCCCTGCAGCCTCAGCCCTCACCCTCTCGATAAATGGCAAGGACACACATCCTGGGAAGTGGACATTGTAGTTCTGTCGTACCAGACAAGCTGCAACGGAACGGAAGGTCCCCTTTTTGCGGTATACCAGATATGATGATGCTGATAAAGATGAGATTTAAGTATTGAGTCCTAGAAGGTGGTAGAGGTATATAAACCACTGCTTGCCATTCCTTTCCTGCTAGGATTTTTTGTGGGATTTTACTCGTCCCTCTCATCATTGGATTGGTCTTTCAAGAGAAGCAGGACAGCCCTGGAAATGGCCCAATGGGACAGAGTTTGGAAACCAGTGAGTGATTTCCACCCCCTCTTTGCCTGTGAATACGTGCCTGCTTTGGGTTTGGATTGTAAAAGTTGTCTTTTGCATTAGTTTCCAGAGCTTATATACAGTACCACAATTCACTGTGTGGAGCTGTAGCTGGAGACACCTTTTTATTCTGAATTACCATGCAGGAATAGAGAATATGTGGACTTAGGAGCGGGGATGAGTTTTGTTTAAATTAGTAGGTCAGAATATTGCTTTGGTTATTGGATAGAGTTTTGCTAATATTTCCTGCTGCTGTTTATGCAGCCAGTGTCTTGTTTCCTCCCCATAAGTTGTAAGTTATGTGAAATATTGACATATTATATGATCCTCCCACCCCCCTGTGGTATAATGTACGCGTATGTATTTTTCTTTCGTGTCACTTGGAGACCGTTGAGTGATAAGCAACTAGTAAGTTGAATAAATTAACAGATATTTGCTGTCATGTTTAACTCCAGCCCTGCAGATGTTGTTTTAATACAGAGAACAATACCTGCTTCTTCTTCTTGTTGTCTGTTTCAGATTTACAGTGCGAGGAGAAGGCTTTTGCGCTTACATAAATGACCTTGGGGTCAGCAGCACCAAGTGCGCTGTGGTGAAGAACTTTGTCTGCAGCCTGGCGGATGCTTGCGCCAAGAGGAAACAAAACTTGTGATCCTCATTTGTGTAAGGCGAGCACTACTGGCTCTTTAGAGTCTCACTGGTAGAACCACTCTTTCTGCAGCTAGTTCCAGATATAATGCTCCATTTTGTTATCTGCCTATAAGAGAGATTTATCAAGAATAGCGGCAACTGTCTTGTCACAGCGTTTGAACCTCACCTATGCCATAAACTCAGAAGATGGCCTCAGACTACCATTGCCTTATCAGCCAGGGGCTGTTGGACTCCCAGCAGCCTCTGCCAGCACGACCGGTGGCATGGGATTATGGGAGTTGTAGTCCAAAGCACCTGAAGCTTGTTGTATGGATGAACTGAGGCCTGAAAGGCACAGTTCCCAAGTCAATCACCAGCTGAGAAGCTGCCCTCCATCTTGTCTGAGGAATAAACTGTGAGCAGGACACCCTGTGAGGCTGTGTGGACGCTTGCCCAATACACAATGCTTTGGCCAAGGACCCAAACATGCTTGCCAGACCTATTTGAAAAGGAAGAATTACAGGAGACGTGTAAATGATTGCTGACCCGGGCAAATGTAGTCCCTGCAAGCCTTGAATCGCCACCGTCCCATGGTCTTGATGTGCTCAGGGTCCATGTCCCAGGCAGCAGCGGTTGTGGCGGCCCCAATGTGGAACAACTGACCAGAGAAGTGACTGGGGTTGCGCCGCATGCAAAAAGAACTTTTCTCAAAACTGCAGTGAATTGGCGCCTGGACACGGGTTGTGTGTTAGCGTGAATAAGGAGGGCCCCCCCAGTGGGCTGGCCTGACCTTCAGGAACCTTCTCGTGTCGCAGACTGGGTGAGGGTCGCTGCGGGGGGAATCAGGAAGCTGCCTCGACACAACTGATCAGTTTTGGAGGAACGCATTCTGAACTGGAGGGAGCCCACATGGAAGGTCACGCCATTAAGCAACAAGCCTGCATGGGATGATGCAGCCGTACCCCCAGTGCGCACGCCAATACGCAGAGCCCCAAAGAATGTCAGAGAATATGCGGCCCAGAATAACGTCACCTCAAAACTGGACCAGCATACACTGTGCAACTTGCACCAAATAAGCCGCCATGTCTCAAAAAGTAATAGGCTTTCTAGCATTTAGCAGTGGGGAGTGCCTACAGCACCATCCCTCAATGAGCTTTTTCATGTGAAAATTATTATAAGGGTTGGGCAGCCAAAGAAAACATTGGCTGAAATAAGAAATAGCGGCCTGTGAAGAGTCATGGTCTTAATGGCCAAGCCTTTCTGCTTGAGGAAGACCAGGTATTGTAGCACATCAGACTTGGCTGCTGGGTGCCTGTGAGAGGAGCCATGCCTGGCCCTGAATGCTTCAAATGTGGACCAAGCTCTTATATAGGCCCTTATCTTGTCCAATTGCCCATAGCTCTTCTGGGAAAGTATCTGGTAGCTGGGCAGCCTTGGGCACCAGGTCGCGGAAACTTTCCATCCAGAAGTGAGATAAAGCATCCACAATGTCATTGTTAAGACCAGGAACAAATTTAGCTGAAAACGTGATGTTACGTTGAAGGCATTCTAACACAAAAAGGCGACACAACCTGCTGACGCAATGTGATTTGCGCCGGGTCACAACCATCTGTTTTTTTGGACCAACTCATTGCTCCATCTGCACTTCAGGATTTCCCCCTGAAGCTGTGACCGCCGTCGCCGCCTAGAAAACATTTCAACAAGCTGAATGCAAGAGGGTCTTATTTATTCCCTTCACCTCCGTTTGACTTTTCACATTCCTTATCGCACTGCTATTTACTTTCCAAGTAAGCACGTTCAGGCCTTATCACTTTCTTGCAGAGGGAACGTTACTCCAAGCTAGTGTTGCTTCAAAGAACAGTTGCCACCTTGTGGTTTGAACTTGCCAGTGCTGGTCTCAAGTTGTGACTTTAAGGATTAGGGGCAGGTCATTAATACGTGGGGACCAAAAAACTCTCTAATATGAATGTTAAAAACTGCTGTGTAAAGATGTTTATAGAATCAGGTGAATGTGGGGTTGTTGTTGTTTTTCCAGTCTTGGCAATGATTCCAAACCAGAAGTGAGCAGAACCAAAGTCAAAAGTAGGCAAGGCCATTCCTTCTTATTTTCATCCATTCCTTATCTCTTATACACACACACTACATAACTAATTTTCCGCAGTAGCTCCCTATCTGTGGAATACCTTTCCTAAGGAGTCTCACTTGTTGCTGGGCAAAAACTTTTGTTTTCTCCTGGACACAATGATTAAATGCTTTTATTCTGTGTTTTAATATTTTTATATATTTTTGCCTTAATGTTGCTCAGGTCTAACTCGTTTGCCTTAAGGTAAGAAAGATTAGTGCAATTCCACACACCCCTTCATGAAATAACTCATGAGAGGGGTCATAAGTGTAAGAAAAACACCCCTCCCTTCAGTGTCTGTTCTGTTATGTTCCGTTAAGAATGTCAGTTAATAGGGACCAACTGCCGCCTTTTGATTCTTGCCTCAGTGATTAAAAACCCATCTAGTTGCAAGCGGTGGTTTTTAAAAAGTGCAAAAGTGTGTTACATTTCTTTAACTATCTGACACGTTTCGTTGAACTCTGCTAAGAATATTTGTTGTTGTTGTTGTTTTTGCTTTGTTTAATAATAAAAAAGGTGGCAGCACCACCACACAGAAAAAAAATCTCTGGTTTTATGTGTTGGCATTAAGCAAAGGTTAAAAGATTGTTTAGGACTCTTGACTAATCCCCAACATTAAGTGGCTGGATTAACTTCGTCCCTAAAACACTGGGTTACCCGGGTGGACTCCCAAATACGTAAAGCCCAATCAGAGGCCTGTTTAACTTCACAGAGAGAACTATATCAACACCTTTGGACCACTTTCCAAGCAACCCAGGAACAGAACGGAAGCGAAGTTTGGTGTGGAATCCCCGCTCTCTGCAACCACTTGGAAGATATTTGGCAAGATCTCTTTCTCCACGATATTTTGCTCAACAACTCTGGGCAATCTCCCCCCATTTTCATCATCATCATCATCATCACTTTTAATTTCTATACTCTTAACAATTACAATAAATAATTTCGAAACTACAATCAATAAAACAACGGCAAGCCACAGGGCATAAAATAATACAAATTAAGAAGCAGAGACTGGAGGGCAGGGCAAGGCATTTTCTTTATTTTGAGTCCCCCAAAATAGGGGGCATCTTATACACAGGGGCGTGTTATACATGGAAAAGTATGCTTTTCTTTTTAGTAGCTTTTATTTCCCTACTTTTTGCTAGTTTCTGAAGAATGGGATACAGTGGTACCTCGGGTTACAGACGCTTCAGGTTACAGATTCCACTAACCCAGAAATAGTACCTCAGGTTAAGAACTTTGCTTCAGGATGAGAACGGAAATCGAGTGGCGGCAGCAGGAGGCCCCATTAGCTGAAGTGGTACCTCAAGTTAAGAACCGTTTCAGGTTAAGAACGGACCTCTGGAACGAATTAAGTTCTTGCCTGCAGGATTCTTGCTGCAAATCTAAAGCACTCAACACCTTCTTCTCCCGCCACCTACAACCACATCCTCCCCCAACAAGACCATTATGTAGAAGAAGCTGTCTCCAGTATTAACAACAGGGCTTGTCTATTTCACTGTTAACATGTGCTAACCACTGCGGCCTATGGCCTTTCTTCCTGTCCACCAAAGGTGTCTGACTCATTTGTTCCACTGCAAACAGCATCTCCACAGCTTTTGCATATTTCGTGGTCAAGGTGTTTATCACACAGGTTTCCATTTCATGTTTAGCTTTCCGCTAAGGAGTATATTCCCCCTTTATTATTTGAATTTTTAAAATAAGAAAATGTTCAAGAAATTACAAAGTTTAGGTCACCTTGGCTCCTTTGGGAGGAAGAATGGGATATAAAGTAAGTATATAAATAAACAATCTAAAATGTCAACATAATAATGCCAAGATGCTCATATACATAATTCTCTTAAGTCTGTTATTAACGCGTAAATAATGACTATATATAAGTTGCATATTTCCTTCTGTTTTGCTTTGGTTTTTTTGCAAAATATTACTTTAATTACTTTAACCATTTCCCCTATTTTTATTCAGTGAGCCAGCATTTTATGGCTCAGTCGGTTATAAATCAGTCTTTTAGACCACAGTAGCTATCGGCTGTATTTATATTGAATTTTGCATTACTGTATTTTTCGCTCTGTAGGATGCACCAGATGATAGGACGCACCAAGTTTGGGGGGGGGGGAGGAAATAAAGGGGGGGAAATTCTAAATCCCAGAAGCCAGAACAGCAAGAGGGATCTGGCTTCTGGGATAGCCTCTTGCTGTTCTGGCTTCTGGGATAGCCTCTTGCTGTTCTGGCTTCTGGGATAGCCGCTGGGATAGCTAGTCTAGCTTTGTGCAAAGCCTCCGCAGGGCACGGGGAGCCTTCATCCCTGTGGAGGCTTCTGAGACAGCCCGTGAAGCCTCTGGAGGGCAGCAGGATGAAGGCACCCCGTTGCCCTGGGGAGGCTTTGCACAGCTAACCCCGAGCTAGAATAGCGAGACGGAGTGCTGCGCAGCGCTGCATCTTGCTGTTCTGGCTTCTGGGACAGCCTGTGAAGCCTCCGCAGGGCAGCAAGGTGCCTTCATCCCACTGCCCTGTAGAGGCTTTGCGCAGCTAAGTCAGAAGCTAGAACAGCGAGACGGAGCGCTGCACAGTGCTCCCTCTCCCTGTTCTGGCTTCTGGCTTAGCCGTGCAACCTGCATTCGCTCCATAAGACGCACACACATTTTCCCTTACTTTTTAGAAGGGAAAAAGTGTGTCTTATAGAGCAAAAAATATGGTACTTTCTATGGGAAAGCGCACCTTGTTTTGGGTTTGGACACTTTGGTTTTGGAACGGACTTCTGGAACGGATTAAGTTTGAGAACCAAGGTACCACTTTACTTTGCTTTTCCAAGGAATCTGGGTAAAAGTTGAATCCAGTAGAATTAATCTGAGCCTTGAAAAGCACAGAGAGCTGAAGAAAAAGCCACCCTCAACACCTTATGTCCAAGAAGGTAGTGATTGGTGGTGGTGGTGGGGCTTAGAGGCTTTGTGGCCACCAGGGAAAAAGGGAGCACCCCCATATTGGTGGTGCCTGCACTAAGAAGATACTTGGCTCAGGAATGGGCTTTCAGCACTAGAATTAAGCTCCAAGTCCTTCCACATACAAAAACAATTTCTGTTTTTTTCTCCCAATTTTTTCACCACAGAGTCTGATTTTTAGAAAGCACACACACACACACACACACACACACACACACACACACCCCTTTTTTGCTGCTGTTCTCGTCAAACAGTTGGGAGACAGGATCCCTTGGAGATCTATCTAAAGCCCTGCCAGGAAATCCAGATCCACCTCCTCCCTGCTCGTGCTTGTTCCTCTTGGTGATTCTAGCTGCACGAGACTCGGGTTGCCCTCTGAAAATTTAAATGAAAAAAATGTCAGCCCCGCATTCAAAGAGGTGTGATTAACACTTCCTGATCTTGGATTGCCTTGGTCAGGCTGGTTCGCACGCCACTGCTTGCAGACATTTCCCCTTGTTACGGAGAGCTTAGCAGACTCATGCACTGCTTCCAGGATGGCTGAGGACATACTTTATGCTGATATAAAGTTCACTTCTCAGACAGGCTCTTCAAGCCTGCACAGCCCATCGCAGCAACTTGGTGAGTGGTAGTGTCGCCTGATTGCTTTTAAACATTGGTGGTTGTCTTTGGGACGTGGGACTAGAAAGTAGGCACTTGGAACTTTCACCAGGATGGTCATTTGAGCTCCGCTTAGACCCCCATGTTCCTGTGCCATTTCTTTATGGCTGCGATCACGCAAAATAGTTGGTGCAAGTGTGCGGGAAAATTGCCCCGGCATATGGGAGGAATAGAATCCTGTACGAAAGGTTGCATCTAAGCAATGAAAAGTTGCCCTAAGTTCTGCTTTAGGGCAAATTCATTGAAATCAACGAACCTAAATTAGATTTAGGTAGGTAGCCGTGTTGGTCTGACGCAGTAGAAATATATATAAAAATAAAATAAATTGTCTAGTAGCACCTTAGAGACCAACTAAGTTTGTTCTTGGTATGAGCTTTCGTGTGCATGCACACTTCTTCAGGTATCCTAAATTAGTTATGCCCATTAACTTTCATAAACATGAACTGGTCTGCTTTGAGTAGGAATAGCATTCAATACAACCCACAGAAATTGAAGGGTGTATATGAACTACGCCTTCAGCTGAAGTAGCAGTTGAAGTATTTTACTTTTGTGGGATAGAGGGAAGGATGAATGATGTGCGCAAGTGAAATGTCAGTCTTTGTTAGTAACTGCCTTGGAAAACGGGAGAATTCCACACGTATCTGCTTATTAACATAGATCAACTTATGCTGACAAAATTATCTCAGTTTAACACTTGGAATTCAGCGCACAAGCCGTGTTTGGAGCTCATGCCTTCTAATCTAACCACTTTAGATTAAGGCAATCTATGGCTCCTTCACTGTCTTGTTTTCGGCACCTGCTAAAAACTTTTATTTCGGCAAGCGTACCCAGGCATGTAGTTTTATTGTGTAAGTTCAAGCCGTATAATTGTTTTAAATTTGCTTGTTTTATTTATTTTTTTATTCAAAAGGATGTGTTTTAATGCTTGCTTTTACTGGTATTTTAATGAATATTTTAGATAGTTTTTGTGAACTGCTTAGAGGCTTTCTGTCAAATAAGCACTAAAGAAAAAAATAGATTGGAACAAATAAAAATGGGGTGTTCTTATTTTTAAAAAGAAAAGCAATAAGTATAGCACAGTGATCTGTACAACTCCTCCTCCAGAAATTGGATTTAGTGATCAAAATTCAGTTTTTGATTCAGTGGCTGTTTCTTTGGCAAATCATTTTTATTATTATTATTTTGGTTTAGGCCCAAAATGTGATGCCAGAATATGAAAGGTTGTTTGTTTTTGTTTTTTGCTTTTTAAATCCACTATGTGGCCCAATAATTGATGATTCGCCTCCTCTCCCCACAGATTTGAAAATGTCTGTGAATATGTGAATTGTGCTGCTAATATTTCTCCTTACATCTATAGAGCAGCACATTTGGTGACTATTTGGCATATTGGTGTGGTAATAAATTCATATGGGTGAACGTGTTGTGTGGGTAACATTGCTTATGGGTGGGAAGGTTGGCTTCCCCACACATCATATCACTGCATTTTTCCTGTATCTGCACTCGGTTGGAGGCAAGCTCACTTTAGACTGCATAAACACATCCTTCAATTTTGTAAATTAGTCGTCACTCTTTATAGCTGCTCCCCAGCACTCCCATTGGATCCAGATCGCTCTGTGGGCAGCATGCATTGGGAATGTCATCCTCGTGATTGCTGTGATAGTCTTGGGTGAGTATGAAAGTATATTTATAAGTAGCTATGCTTTTTTTGGGGGGGGGGGAGAGAAACATATTGGGGGGAGGAATTCTCTAGTTATCTCCAGCTTGGACTACTGCAATGCACTCTACGTCACCTTTAAAGGTGACCCGGAAACAACAATTAATACAGAATGCGGCTGCTAGACTGGTGACTGGGAGCGGCCACCGAGATCACATAACACTGGTCTTGAAAGACCTACATTGGCTCCCAGTACGTTTCCGAGCACAATTCAAAGTGTCGGTGCTGACCTTTAAAGCCCTAAACGGCCTCGGCCCAGTATACCTGAAGGAGCGTCTCCACCCCCATCGTTCAGCCTGGACACTGAGGTCCAACTTTGAGGGCCTTCTGGCGGTTCCCTCACTGTGAGAAGTGAGGTTACAGGGACCAGGCAGAGGGCCTTCTCGGTAGTGGTGCCTCCCTGTGGAACGCCCTCCCATCCAATGTTAAGGAAATAAACAACTATCTGACTTTTAGAAGATATCTGAAGGCAGCCGTGTTTAGGGAAGTTTTTAATGTTTGATGTTTTGTTTTGTTTTGTTTTTAATATCCTGTTGGAAGCTGCCCAGAGTGGCTGGGGAGACCGGCCAGATGGGTGGGGTATAAGTAATAAATTATTATTATTATTATTAGTAGTAGTAGTAGTAGTAGTAGTAGTAGTAGTATTAAAACCAACAACCAGTCTCTCGTTCCTAATGTTTTTATTATGAAACGAGCACAGCATTTTTTGACCTTCCGAATGGGACTCCTCCTCACACATCAGAAAATACACATTTGTTTTCTGCTTAAAGACAGTTTCCAAGAAGTTGGTTAGAAATCATCTTCCTGATTAAAGGAAGGCATAGACTTATTGGTATGCTAGTTTCTGAGATGTAATGTGACAGGAAGTCGATGTAGGCTGCAAATGAATCTGATAAATTAGCCTTGAACTGTCTGGTGGTCTTAACCATGCGAGGCGAGGGATTCAAAGCCTTATGCACACATTCTAATTCTCTCTTTTGAAAACCTGACCAATTTTTATGCACGTTAATAATGCATGTTAGTAACTCATTCTCAAATTACCCCCCTTAATATCAAATTGCCCCCCTGTGGGGCATGGGGCCCATGATAGGAACCACAGCTGTAGATGTTTCAAAATCCTGCTCCCGGCGTATTAATCATTAATTCAAGGAAATGTTTATCTTTCTGATTATCATCAAATATTCTGAGCAGCTCAGCTTTTAATATTCATATAGGAGAACCAGCATGCCTCTCCATGGCCACTGCTCTACCACAAGAGACTAGGGCCCTGCGGGACTTGACATCTTCCCGCAGGGCCTGCAAGACAGAGCTGTTCCACCAGGCCTTTGGCCAAGGCACAGCCTGACCCCAACCCTTGGCAATCCTCACAGAACTCTAGCCCAATGGTTGGAGGGTCTGCTATCAGCAACTGTTGGGGTAACAGGATCCTTGCTGCGGGAATGACATTTCCCCCACCTCAGGGCTCCTCCACATTTTACTCTAAAGCGGGTGTGAATCCTCAGTTTTCTTCAGACTGAGTCACTGTAGTCCCCACATGTGTGCATTAGGTTTTGTAAAACGGTTTGAACCAGCTTTTTTGTGTTGATACCGATTTCCAATTCCCCATTTTGATCTGGGCTATGTCTTCTTGTTTCCAGCTCTTTATTTGGTTAATAACCCTTAAACACCCACCCACCCACCCATGGAAGTATGCTGTCTCTCTGTGTCTCTGTTTGGTGCTGTGAACAATATTTCGGTGACTTACGCTGATATCAAAGTGCAGCAACTGTCAAAATTTGAGGCATGGTGCTGTTTACCGTTGCAGGCCTGTTTAGCATTTGCCGCTTGGCAGGGCCAGCTCAAAACATCTTGCCAACAGAGGCAAAATGCCTCACCCCCACAGATCCGGGTCCCCGCCTCAGCCCCATCACTGCAACTGCACCCTCACCTGTGGCTGCACCCGTGCTGCAAGAGTGCCGTGGTGAGGGTGCAGTGGCAGGGGTGAGGGCAACAGGGCTGCGTTGGCAGTGCGGGTGAAGCCCCTCAGGGCTGGGAGCAGCACATAGGTGGGGATGGGGTGGAGGACAGATCCATCACCCACCGAGACCACATAACACCGGTCTTGAAAGACCTATATTGGCTCCGGTACGTTTCCAAGCACAATTCAAAGTGTTGGTGTTGACCTTTAAAGCCCTAAATGGCCTCGGCCCAGTATACCTGAAGGAGCGTCTCTACCCCCATCGTTCTGCCCGGACGCTGAGGTCCAGCGCTGAGGGCCTTTTGGCGGTTCCCTCGCTGCAAGAAGCCAAGTTACAGGGAACCAGGCAGAGGGACTTCTCAGTAGTGGCGCCCACCCTGTGGAATGCCCTCCCTTCAGATGTCAAAGAGATAAACAACTACCTGACATTCAGAAGACATCTTAAGGCAGCCCTGTTCAGGGAAGTTTTTAATGTATGACATATTAGTGTATTTTTGGTCTTTGTGGAAGCTGCCCAGAGTGGCTGGGGAAACCCAGCCAAATGGTCGGGGTACAAATAATAAATAATAATAATAATAATTATTATTATTATTATCACCTGAAACAAATGGCTTCACCTCGCCTCATGCATGGGGCCACCCCTGCTGCTTGGTAACAGCTTCTGAAAGGAGACAGAGAGATTATTGTACTTTTGATTTTTTTTAAAAAATACTTATCAGTGCTTTTTTTCTGGGGGGATGCAGAAATACGCATACCCCTAAACATTTTTTGAATCTTTGTACTTTTGTCCGTTTACTGTATTTATTTTCCCTGATTTGAACTATAAAATGGTGGTTAAATATAAGCACTGCTTATTATTAAACGTTTTCTTAGTTTACAAAAGTACCTGTGTTGCCTCTTTTAATGTTTTTAGACAAGACTTGGACCAGGTAAATTCATTTTAAACTATGTCAGTGAAGCAACGTATTCCGATTAGCTGTCAGTTGGGAGTAGACTGAAAGGTGAGGAGAAATAATGCCAGTTGGGAAAGTCAGTGAGGGATGGAGGTGTGAGGAAAACACTTCCAAAATCTGAGGTAAAAATGGGTATCTGAGGCCTGAATATCAAGCTGTTCTTCCCGATTATGTTAATACTGTAATGGTTTGCTGGTGAATATCAGAAGAAGGGAGCTGGTGTCTGTGTTAGGCCAAGATGCAGCCCAGATAAAGATTTTGACAGAAAAAAATGGAAGAAGTGTGTCACTTCTGCTCATCCTGTATATTTGTAAATAAATGCAACTATTACAAACTATTACAAAGGAAGCTGAAATTAGGGAAGCACTGAACCTTTGGATCTTCTCAGTGCTTGGGGGAATACAGTGCAAAAAAGAGAAATATCTCACAGATTCCAAGAACCACAGGTTATTTTTTTTTTTGGCAGTATGCTTAAATTGCAAAGGACTCTTCCTTTTTCCTGGCATCTCTGAGGTATATTTTTGCACATTATTCTTGGATGCTTCCTGGTTTTGTGGTTTTGGGAGGAATAGGACAATTGCAACAATATATTCTGTTCTGAAAGCAAATAGCTTCAAAATCTTTCTGTCCTTAAAAATGCTGATAGAAATCCCATTGCCACATATTTTTGTCTAAAGAAAGCAGGGACTCCCTAATGTTTGCATAGGAGGAATTTGGGCAGGTGTGTTTACTTACATCCCTGCATGATAATATGTTTCTCCCAAATTCCCTCCTCTGCACAATGAGTAAATATACAAGTGTCCTGGTCTCTTTTGCAGCTTGCCTTCATTATCTTATCATATCAATCTTCTTCTCCCCATTCCTTGGCCTCCATAATTTGAATTTGTGCCTTAACATTATGTCCATTCATTTTAATGACTTTATTTGTTTTGTGGGGGCAGCTTTGCAGGTGGAACCTGAAAAGGAAAAAATTGTGCTGAACAATGGTGGATGCAGTGCCTCAACAGACAAGTTTCAGGCTTTCCTAAGACTCAACTTCTGCAATCAAAATCAGAATAGGTCCTCAGGTAGAATTGATATATTGTACTGCTGTCTCTTTTAAGCATAGCAATTGTATGTAAGAACTTGCTTTCAGTTCACATCTATGTTGTTTTGAGGCATAAAAGCTTCTGCAAAGAAACTCATTCATTGTGGGTGAATCATAGACTTATAGAATTGTAGAGCTGGGGGGAACCCCAACAGTCTCCTTGCAATGCAGGAATCTCAGCTAAAGCATCCATGGCAGATGGCCATCCAGCCTCTGCTTAAAAACCTCCAGGGAAGGAGAGTCCACAACCGCCCAGGGGAGACCGTTCCACTGTCAAACAGTTTCTACTGTTGTTTTTCCAGATATTTAGTCAGAGTCTCTTTCCTTGTAACTTGAATCCATGGTTTCAAGTCCAACCCTACTGAGCAGGAAAAAAACAGGCTTGCTCCATCTCCTGTGTGGCAGCACACATTCCAGCTTGTTAAAATCCTTCTTAAATTGTGGCACCTAGAATTGGACACATGACTCCAGGTGGTGTTCTCATAGCTTGGTGGTAGAGTCCCAGATTCCATACCTGGTGTCTCAAACTGCTGCTGGTCAGTGTAGACAAAATTTGAGCTAGAGGAACCCAATGATCTCCCTAAGAATAGGGCCGCTCCCTATGGTCCTGAATTATCAAGCATCAAGTGGTTTCATTCTAGAGCTAACTTCACACTCAACTCCGGCCATTGCCTTTCTCACTAAGAGCCAGGTGAGGGAAGGGAGACCCACACATTTTCCCTCTGGCACAAAGCCACTTCCTTTGCTATACCAAGGACAGCATTTAAGGCTATTAATATGGAATAGTTAATATGGAATCCTCCATTAGATTTTAACCTTTTCTGGATCCAGGGCACCAGGAATTATTAGGGACTCAGGTATAATGGAGACTGACAGCCCCCCCCCAAAAAAAACCCCCACCTCTCCACAGTATTGTCAACACGGAGCTACCATGAGACAGACTGTGGCGACCAACTTGGACATGTAAGGCTGCAATTTGTCTTGTAAACTCCATCTCCATCTTTGTCCTCTAGAGGGCTCCAGTTTCCTCTCTCTGAACTCATTCAGATGCAAAAACTACGTAAGTAATAAACTTGCATTTGCGATGGTATGATGTGAGAGATCTGTACTTTGATCTCTGTATGTTTTTATACTCAAAGGCATTTTGAGTGTGCAGGGAGGACTGAATTGGAGCAGGACTATAAAAGAAGCTTTAAAGGGGGCCAATCTGAATCAAGCTGCACGCCTGTTCCCCATAAAAATTATCTCCCCACCTGACAGCTATTGTCTCGCCTCCCCCCATTCTCCCCTAAAAACCCCTTCTGGCTCAAACAGAGGGCATGTTTTTGGGTGAGAAGCCAGCACTGAGACCTGGTGGAAATTGGGAGCGTAATCTGGATCAGGGCTCTTCCTCCTTCAAAATAAATGTGGCAAATGTAACTACACTTTAAAAAAAAGAAAGAAAGAAAGAAAAAGAAAAAGAAAAAGAAAAGAAAAGAAAAGAAAAGAAAAAAGAAAAGAAAAAAAGTGAATAACATAAAAAGTTGTTGGACCCCAACTTTGAGGAGTTTCAAAGAGCACCTTGCAAACCAACAATTTACTGGACAACTTCACTCAGCCTAGTGACACTGGGTCTTTACCATTGCAGAGCAGTTATGTTTATACAATCGAAATGGAGGCCCAGTCATAATCATTAAGTGTCTTTCCTTCCACAGATAATTCCACTTGCAAAGTGTGCCCTTTGCAATGGCAGCTCCACAGGGACAAGTGCTACTGGTCATCAGAAAATATTAAAAGCTGGAATGAGAGCCAACGTGACTGTTCAACAAGGGATTCTCAACTGCTGGTCATCCAAGACAAGGAGGAGCTGGTAAGGGGACAATTGCATATTTCAGGCAATGCATTCGCATGCATGTTAATTCTGAAGGAAGCCTGAGTCCAACTGAGCTTAACTCTAGCTTAGTAGCTCTGCAATGATAACATGGTTGGTGACTTGAGAAGCATGTGGAGTGTGGGGCCTTGTTTAGTGCTTCATCCCATTCCCACCCACGGCCAGTTCATCAGTGTCTAGAGAAGGCCTTGGGGAGCTTGACTAGTGAGAACCAAAGTACCCATTGCAAGCAAATCTCTGTAACTGTAGCCCAAGTCCTCTTTTTATTTAGAAAGACTCTTTAGGAAGGTGAGGTTGGTTGTGGAGCAGTGGGAGAGGAGGAGCTGGTGTTCCCCTTGTTTTCCCCCCATTCCACATGGCCTTTCAGCGGCTTTTCCCCATGGATGCTTTAAAGCGTGTTTGGAGGCTTTTTCAATGGTGTTCCCCATATACACAATTTCACTTAAATGCACAGTTCCTTGCAACGTAACCCTTGTGTAAATAGGGAGGCCTGCATTATAAATGCTTAATGCTGCTTTGATTACTGTTCTTGGTGAATGTTTCGTTATAATTAATATCAACTTTCACATTTACTACTTTATTTTACTTTAATGTAAGCTTTATTCTGAAGTTATCAACTTGAAAATAATTTAACAATTTTTTTTAAATAAAAAACACATTATCTCATGCAGGATTTCATAGAAAGCATTACTAAAAATTCAAAATACTGGATTGGACTCTCACTATTAAAATCGAAGAAGAAATGGATGTGGATTACAGGCTTCCAGCTTGATCAGAGTCTGTGAGTTATTATTGTTTTTAATCTAAGCAAAAAATCATACAATTTTGACTTTTGAGAAATTGGGAAAGGTCTGAGATGGCAAGTTTCTATACCATGAAGTCATGCAGGTAGTTCTATTTTTATTTTTATTCACTGGCCACTTCGCTCCCCACTCATGGTCTCAATTGAAGTTCCCCCCTTTCTCCAGAACACTGGTTCTTGGGGGGAAGGAAAGATCTTTAGGGGTGTGAATGGAATATTTTCCCTATTTATAAGTGCTATATGGAACCGCAGTGGCAGGGAGTGGAGGTGTAACCCTTCCCACTTTTTTTTTTTTAAAAATGCAAAGTGAAAGAATAGTAGAAAATCCTCATGCTCCTTGCCATAACCAGTGACAACACCCTTCTCCATGGAATTCTTAAAAAAACTTCACCCTGTTTCTATTTCCAAGGCTTTCTTTCACTCCTAACACACACAAATGGTCAAAAAGAACTGGCCAAAAATATTAGCCTGACCTAAGAGGAAAATCAGAGAAGAGAGAAGAAAGGGAAAACTGGCAAGTTATTGGCAGTTAATGATGGGTGCCCCCCCACCATCCCATTTATTTTGGGGTTGCCAACAGACCGGTTTGAGTTTAATGTAGTTGGGAATGTGCTGAGGTCCAAATATGGATAAGCAAGCCAACTCCTGCTCTCAAGTTCCTATATCTGCCCAATTGCCCCCATTTCACTAATTCTTCCTAGGTGGCAAATTGGTAGGTCATTTTCATTCAGAGGCGTAGCATGGAGGTGCCACTGCTCCGGGCACAATTTGGAGAGGGGGTGCAGACAGGCGTCCCACAGCAGGCTCCTTCATCAGAGCCTGGCTCTGCTTCAGAAGGAGCTGCTCCTTGGTTACAGCGCTTGTGCCTGGTGCCAGGGGAGGAGAGCAGGCGAGGGGGAGGCAGCGCTGCTCTGCCACTTGGTCACTTCTGACGTGGTGGTGGAGAGCAGGAGGAGAGTGGGTAGCAGCTTCCCCAACCCTCTCCTACTCTGAACTGTGGCGCAGGAGGGCACTCTCTGTGCATCACCCTTTTGGGAGCGTGCCGCGGGCATATGCTCCACCACTGTTTTGATTTCCAGATCCCTGGTGGAACATCAACCACTGCTGCAATCCTCCTTCCCAGGCCCCAAAGTCTTGGGGCAGGAAAAGGTGGTGATGCTCCCACTATCAAGCTCAGCATGACTTTCTTCACTCTCTCCACTTTGATGCAAGTTTGGAGGATTCAAATGCATACAACCTGCTTATTGTACATTTTGGGAACACTCATGCTTTCTATTAAGAATATGAAAAAATAGTTGTAACAGACTTCAGTCCTGATATTCAGATGTACCCTTTTCTTCCACAGATTTCCAGAACCAAACTATGCTGAAGGAAACTCTTGTGCTGCAATAAGATATAAAATTATCTATGAACGCTGCAGTACTGCACTTAGGTGGATTTGCCAGAAAGGCCCTCTCCTACTCTGATATTTTAGTTTGATAAATGTAATAATTATGTGGGTTTTGGTTATTTGCTAGGAACACACAATAAAAATGTCATTGAGTGACTGAGAAGATTATGTAAAGGTATTATTCTATTGTCATCAAAATACCTCTTTGTGAAATCCAGAGGCAGCACACCTAAAATGGAATTCTAAGTCATTTTATGTTGGCTATTAAAAGATTGGTTTTAAGTCACAATTGAGGATCAGCTGTAGAATTTGACAGTGCAAAATAAATAATAACAATAATAATAATAAGAATAATACCCCACCCATCTGAATGGGTTTCCCCAGCCACTCTGAGCAGCTTCCAGCACAATTAAAAACATAATAAAACATCTAACATTAAAAATGTCCTTAAACAGGGCTGCCTTCAGAAGTCTTCTGAAAATTGTATAGCTATTTATTTCCTTGACATCTGATGGGAGTGCTTCCCATTGAGGGGGGTGCCACTACCGATAAGGCCCTCTCATGCTCCGGCACCAGGGGGTGGAGAGCAGACGGGGGTGGGGCGCACCGCACGCAGGGGCGTGATGCGCATCCTGGGAGCGCAGCACGTCGTCTGCAGGGGCGTGACACCCAGCACGGGCAGGGGAGGGGAGCCGCGATGGCACCTGACCAGGATCGCGCTGCCGGGGGTGGTGCGCTCCCCCCGCACTCCTCTTCCTCCGCCAGTGGACCCTCTGCCTGGTTCCCTGTAGCTTCACTTCTCACAGACCACACCTAGACATGTCTCTCTGTTCCATCTGAATGAGGAGAAACAGTTGAGATGTTAGACTAGTGCTTGAATGTGGTGATGGGCTGGATGTGGGCCAATAAACTGAAGCTGAATCCTGAAAAGATATGTGTCTCAGGGAGCTTGCAATTGCTTGGGGTGAACACCATGTAACTATGATGTTTCTTGTTGGTTTGTGTCCAACCAATCAGCATTACAAAGCCCAGCTATGGATGTAATATGCAAAATTTTCTTACAATTGTAAATCATAGTACCTTTGTTTTTTATTGAATATAGCACTGTAAACCACATGCACCATTGTAATGGATTGCTTTGTTTGTTATTTCTGCCCCAGGTACAGCAATTAGCCCCCCAATTCCTCCACAACCTGTCCTTTATTTTGACCAACCAAAGGTGGCAACCCTATCCACCCATCAATCTCCTTTATCCTGGTGGCTAAGTATTGGAAAGGGAATCAGTTACCCACTAGGGGAGAATAGTTATGTAAGCTTTCAGAATATTTAGAATTAGCCAAATTGACAGATATAATAAGGCAGAGTATAATTGTCAATTAAGGAAAAGAAAAACTCACTTTTTCCAATCCATTATATGCCCAGTCAATCATGCAATTAAATTCCCATCCCCCTAAACAACAAAAAAGGCACGAAATGCTTCTGTATAACATATAATTAAACATATAACCTATAATTAAAACACAAAGTAACAAATATACTATATATTTCACATCTGGTGGAAAGTATTTTTTTAAAAAATAGTTTTCATTGATTGATTCACACACCTAATCACAAAAAAAATATTAAAAATTTGCACAAGATTTTTTCAAATCTCAAGACTCCCCTCCTCCCCTCTGTGGGTTCTTTAAGTAACTTTTATAACTTCATATTATAAGGCCTTCTTTGGCCACCTCATGAGAAGAGAACACTCCCTGGAAAAGACCCTGATGCTGGGAAAGATGGAGGACACAAGGAGAAGGGGACGACGGAGGACGAGATGGTTGGACAGTGTTCTCAAAGCTACAAACATGAGTCTGACCAAACTGCGGGAGGCAGTGGAAGACAGGAGTGCCTGGCCTGCTCTGGTCCAGGGGTCACAAAGAGTCGGACACGACTAAACGACTAAACAACAACAACAACAATTATATCCAAAGTCTATGTATCATTGGAAGAATAATTTGAAACCTGCCAAAGAGTCCAAGTGTTTACAGTGGTCTTTCAGATATAAATTTGTCACATTCTTTATTGAAGTTTTGATCCTCCTCATTTCTGATTTTCCCGGTTAGTCTTGCCATCTCTGCATAATCCAATAGTCCACCTGGTAAGTATCTTGTCATTTTTCCAATTCTGGGCAAGCAACATCCCTACAGTTACATCTGGTGAAAAGTAAAGTATTCTTATTTGTTGTGCGCTTCTTTTCTCCTGGGTGTTATGGGGACTGTGATTTTCGCTTCCAAATGCCATTGTCTGTCCACAATTGCCAAAATGCAGGCAACGTGCCATCAGTAAGCTACTTCTTCTTCCAGAAGGTCTTATTTTCAGATTACTGTAAAAGGGCACATCAACACCATACATTTCAAGCACTGCCACTTCAGAAGTCCTGGCTTCCCCCAAAGAATCCTAGAAAATGTAGTTAGGGGTGCTTATGTAGGTAGTTAAGTCCGCTCAGTGCACATCCAGTGCCTTTTGTCATCTAAACGGTTTGCTGCAGATCCAGGGTTCTTCGCTCGGCCGCTGGAGCTGGCAACACTTTGATGGTTTATATAAGCACATTCTCCTCCTCCCCAAATTTTAAACCTAAAATTTCAAACAGAACATATGTTGAAATAATCATAACAATAATTTTATTATTAATATGCCACCCATCTGATTGGGTTGTTCCAGCCACTCCGGCCAGCTCCCAACAAAATATTAAAAACATCATAAAACATCAAACATTAAAAACTCCCAATACTGGGCTGCCTTCAGAAGTCCTCTAAAGGTTGTACAGTTCTTCATCTCCTTGACATCTGATGGGAGGGCTTTCCACAGGGCAGGGGCCACTACCAAGAAGGTTCTCTGTAACTTCACTTCTTGCAGTGAGGGAACTGCCAGAAGGCCCTTGGAGCTGGACCTCAGTGTCCGGGCTGAACGATGGGGGTGGAGATGCTCCTTCAGGTATACAGGGCCAAAGCTATTTAGAGCTTTAAAGGTTATCATCAAAGGAGCCAACTCCTAGGTGCCGAGATCCCTTCGGTCCTCCAATAAAATATTTGAGGGGGCTGCCCCCCAAAATTAATGGGCAATGCCACTCAAATGGTGTGCATGTGTTGCATCTTGTGATCAGTTATATGAGGCAGGTCCAAGCAGGAGATAACCAGAGCATGCAGCACTCTGGTGAGACAGTGCGCAGGCAGATGGGGTCTCAGCTGGTGTACCAGATGGAGCTGGCAGAATTGACCTGCCCCTTCATGGACAGCTGTGAGTCCAAGAAGATCCCAAGGCTGTACAGCTGGTCCTTTAGGGGCCCAGTAACTCCATTCAGGACCAGGGAATACCCCAAACATGCCCGTCCGCTGTCCCCCAGAAACTGTACTTCTGTGTTGTTGGAATTCAACCTCAACCCATTAACCACAATCCATAGAAAATATCCATAGAAATATCCCTGAGAACGAGCATAAATCAAGCAGCGGGAGAAACGCCAAGCATAGGTGCAGGGAGGCCTGGAAGCAAATTTTCACCTGAAGAAGACAATTGCATTCATATTCATATAATACAAATATTCATATTTCTAAGCAGCTTTTCCACCAAAATATTTTCTTTAGAATCTGGCCTAGAAAGGAAACATCAAACTCTTGCTGCGCTATGACTGAAAATGAACTTCTATGTGTGCTGCTGACCACAAGGTGGAGCTCTGTGTATAAGAAGCGAGATGGCTTCTGGTCAGTTCCTCAACATTCAGGCAGACTACAGTGGTACCTCGGGTTACATACGCTTCAGGTTACATACGCTTCAGGTTACAGACTCTGCTAACCCAGAAATAGTGCTTCAGGTTAAGAACTCTGCTTCAGGATGAGAACAGAAAAAGCACGGCGGCGGCACAGCAGCAGCGGGAGGCCCCATTAGCTTAAAGTGGTGCTTCAGGTTAAGAACAGTTTCAGGTTAAGAACAGACCTCTGGAACGAATTAAGTTCTTAACCCGAGGTACCACTGTACTAGTAACAATTGTGAAACTACAAATGTGCCTTTGACAGTGGCGTGTTGTGAACTTTTTTGTAGGGCAACAGTTAGGACAAGTGGCACCAGCTTGTGATTGGGGTGGGGTGGAGAACAAGTGAAGTTGCAACATTGCCATGTCCAACACAGGCATCATGCCTCCCGCTCTAAGCCAGGCAAAAGCTTCTTGGGCTTTGGGAAGGAGGCGCCAGGTTTTAATACGTCAATACTCTTATTTACTGGGAACATTTAGGGGACTAGCCTAGTCCCCCTAGTCCATGGGTAGGCAAACCACGGCCCGGGGGCCAGATCCGGCCCAATCGCCTTCTCAATTCGGCCCATGGATGGTCCAGGAATCAGCATGTTTTTACATGAGTAGAATGTGTGCTTTTATTTAAAATGCATCTCTGGGTTATTTGTGGGGCATAGGAATTTGTTCATTTTACCCCCCAAAAAAATATAGTCCGGCCCCCCACAAGGTCTGAGGGATAGTGGACCAGCCACCTGCTAAAAAGGTTTGCTGACCCCTGCGCCTAGTTCCTTGACTGCATGCCACTAGGCTAGGACCAGGAGCTTTGTAGTCCTTGAGGAATATACGTAGTGCTTTTTCAGAGGGTACTCAATGGTACTCAGTACCTGCGCCCTTTTTTCTTTTCCAAATGTTAAAGCGTGGCACTTGCTGTAAGAACTTCATGGTGAATATTGGCACCTTATTTTCTATATTAAAAAAGCACTGCATATGTTGCTCCTCAAAGCACACCTGTTTGGGCAAGCATTCCCTTGATCTTTTCACTCAAACTATTTTAACTGTTACACTGTTTTAAGGGACTTGTTTATTACACATTTTCATTGTGGATGCTCACCAGTTATTGAAAATGGTGCCATCGATCCATTTCCAAGGCTCCTGGTCATTCATCTTTTGGAGACCAATCCAGTAGTCAGCAGGACCTTTGTACCGTCTCAAAAAGCACTTAATAAAGAAAAGAAATAAATAAATAAATAAATAAATAAATAAATAAGAAAGAAAGAAAGAAAGAAAATACATTTCCAACCCTCATCCAATTGTGAATCAACTGCATTTGGGGCTGCAGACTGTGCTCAAACTGTCTCAGGAAACCAATATCTTGGTAGGAAAGGGGGAGGGGCTGGGTCTGCTTCCTCCTGCAGCCTGTCAGGTTCAGAGTCAGAGCCTGTCTTTCTTCCATCTCCTTCCTCGCTTGACTCCACCACGCTCCTGACCATTACCAAGATTTTAGCCCTTGCTGGATCTAGGAATTAGCCGGGTCTCAGGCATGCAGCCTAGCCCCCCCCCCATCTCCTCCGCTAAACTTACAACAATATCTAATTGGGAAGCTACTATGCAAATATAGGACCACCCAATGGTCTGGCATTGAGAAATAGAGAGTAGCAGATGGCTACTGTTAACTCCCCTCAGTCTCCTCTCAGGGGAGGAGCTTATCAGAGCTTGCAGGGCAGCAGTTGAAGAAGGAGCAAAAAGGGTTTTCGTGTGTGTGTGTGTGTGGTTCTTTGTGGCTGATTGGCTGCTCTCCCTGTGCAAAGGTCAGAGGGGGCAGGGTTTCTGTTGAGGCAGGTGATTAGCTGTGGGAGGAGCTTATCAGAGCTTGCAGGGCAGCGGCACGCGCCTAGCGGCGCGCACAGTTTGATCCATCTTTTAGATTTAGGGGAGCTAGTCTCAAACGTTTGTTGGGGGAGACCTAGGTTTTCTTGTGGGGGGAGTTATTTTTCCTGTCTTCACGCTTTTTATGATGGAGGACCACTGTAGCCACCCCCAACAACACGTTCTCAAGATGGAGGGGGACGGAACAGCTGCAGTCGCCTGCGGTTCCTGCGCAATGTTTGCCATCTTGCCAAAGGTAGCAGGCAGCTTTACCTGCAGCAATTGCATGTTGATTGCCCTCTTAAAAGACAAAGTCCAGCAACTGGAGGAACGTGTAGCTACGCTCCAAAGAAATAGAGAGCTGGAGCTCTTCTTGGAAGCAACAGAGCACACCGTCTCCACCAAGGAGGAGACAGGGGACTCCCCTGAGAAGGAGGCTAGTTCACCAACACAGGAGCCAGATATATGGAGAAACATGACTCAAAGAAGTAGGAGGCCCAGGGTTCGCTCTGATTGTTTAGAAATACACAGTCGCTTTGAGGTCCTCTCCCCTAGCATGGAAGACGAAGAGCAGACTCCATTTGAGGATCTCTCCCTCATTACAGTCGATCAGGTATATGAAGACGAGCAGCAAAGTCAGTCCTCAGGGAATGTGCAGGCGACCTTGGAGCGGACAGCTCATGGAAGAACCCCGACCAAACCTAAGAGGAGGCGTGTAGTGGTGATAGGGGATTCCCTACTGAGGGGAACAGAAGCAGTGATCTGTGGGCCTGACAAGATGTCTCGGGAAGTGTGCTGTCTCCCTTGGGCTAAGATCCAAGATGTAACTGAACGACTGCAAGGAATCATAAACCCACTGACAAATACCCCTTCCTCTTGGTTCATGTGGGAACCAATGACACTGCAAGCAATAGCCTCCAGAAGATCAAAAGAGACTACGAGGCTCTGGGCAGGAAATTGAAGCAATTAAATGCACAAATTGTGATCTCATCTGTCCTCCCAGTTGAACGACGTGGCCCAGGGAGAGAGGGGAAAATAGTGGAAGTGAACAGCTGGCTTCGCAAATGGTGTAAACAGGAACGGTTTGGATTCTTAGATCACGGACTGCAGTTTCTTGAAGATGGACTTCTGGCAAGCGATGGGCTGCACCTCACAACGGTTGGGAGAAATGTTTTTGCCAAAAATCTCAGAAACCTCATCAGGAGGGCTTTAAACTGACTAATGTGGGGAGGGAGACAGTGCTCCTGAAGGTAGGAGTCTATCAATTGATGAAGATGATCATCCAAATGTCATAGACCAAATGGAGCAAACAGCACGCAGACCTAGTGGTGGGAGGAAAAATCCTTAAATAAGAGTCACGGGGAATGATTAATGGACTTCAATGTCTGTACACTAATGCGCAAAGCATGGGAAATAAACAAGATGAGCTTGAGCTCTTGGTACAGCAAACTAAATATGACATAGTAGGCATCACTGAAACCTGGTGGGATAAGTCCCACGATTGGAATGTCATAATGGGGGATACAATCTATTTCAGAGAAACAGACCAGACAAGAAAGGAGGAGGAGTGGCGTTATATGTCAGGGATGTGTATACCTGTGAAGAGATCCAAGATTTAGAACCTCAAAGCCAAAGTGAGAGCATTTGGGTCAAAATTAAGGGAGAGAAGAATAACAGTGACCTCATTGTGGGAGTTTACTATAGATCCCCAAGCCAAACGGAGGACATAGATGATGCCTTCCTGGAACAGATGGCCAAGCATGCAAAAGGAAGGGAGATAGTAGTAGTGGGGGACTTCAATTACCCGGATATTTGTTGGATGTCAAACTCAGCCAAGAGCATAAAGTCAAACAGATTCCTCACTGGCCTTGCAGACAACTTCATTGTCCAGAAAGTGGGAGAAGCAACAAGAGGAACAGCCATTTTAGATCTGGTCCTAACCAATGTTGATGACCTGGTTAGTGGGGTAGAAGTGGAAGGATCATTAGGCGCGAGTGATCATGCTCTTCTGAAGTTTACTATACAGCGGAAAGGAGCAGCCAAGCATACTAGGACTTAATTTCTTGACTTTTAGAAAGCTGACTTCATAAAACTTAGGGAAGTGCTAGGTGAGATCCCATGGACAGTAATACTAAAAGGAAAGGGAGTTCATGATGGCTGGGAGTTTGTTAAGAGGGAGATACTAAAAGCACAACGTCAGGCAATACCAATGAGACAGAAACATGGAAGGTGCCTAAAGAAGCCAGGGTGGCTATCTAAAGAACTTTTAACTGAGTTAAGATTGAAAAAGGATGTGTACAGAAAATGGAAAAGGGGGGAAACCACCAAAGAGGAATTCAAACAAATAGCCAGCACGTGTAGACACAAAGTCAGAAAAGCTAAAGCACAGAATGAACTCAGGCTTGCTAGAGAGGTTATAAGCAACAATAAAGGCTTTTATGGGTATGTCCGTAGCAAAAGGAAGAACAAAGAAACAGTGGGGTCACTCAGAGGAGAAGATGGTGAAATGCAAACAGGGGACACAGAAAGAGCTGAACTCCTCAATGCCTTCTTTGCCTCAGTCTTCTCCGATAAAGAAAACAATGCCCGACCTGAAGAATTTGGAGCAAATGATTCAGCAAAGGAAACACAGCCCAGAATAACTAAGGAGATAGTACAAGAATACTTGGCTAGTTTAGATGTATTCAAGTCTCCAGGGCCAGATGAACTGCATCCAAGAGTATTAAAAGAACTGGCAGATGTGATCTCAGAACCACTGGCAGTCATCTTTGAGAATTCCTGGAGAACAGGCGAAGTCCCGGCAGACTGGAGGAGGGCAAATGTTGTCCCTATTTTCAAAAAGGGAAAAGAGAGGACCCAAATAATTACCGCCCAGTCAGTCTGACATCAATACCAGGGAAGATTCTGGAGCAGATCATTAAGCAAACAGTCTGTGAGCACCTAGAAAGGAATGCTGTGATCACCAATAGTCAGCATGGATTTCTGAAAAAGAATTCATGTCAGACTAACCTGATCTAGTTTTTGACAGAATTACAAGCCTGGTAGATGAAGGGAACGCAGTGGATGTAGCCTACCTTGATTTCAGCAAGGCATTTGACAAGGTGCCTCATGATATTCTTGTAAAGAAGCTGGTAAAATGTGGTCTTGACTATGCTACCACTCAGTGGATTTGTAACTGGCTGACTGACCGAACCCAAAGGGTGCTCATCAATGGTTCCTCTTCATCCTGGAGAAGAGTGACTAGTGGGGTGCCACAGGGTTCTGTCTTGGGCCCGGTCTTATTCAACATCTTTATCAACGACTTGGATGATGGACTCAAGGGCATCCTGATCAAATTTGCAGATGACACCAAATTGGGAGGGGTGGCTAACACCCCAGAGGACAGGATCACACTTCAAAACGACCTTGACACATTAGAGAACTGGGCCAAAACAAACAAGATGAATTTTAACCGGGAGAAATGTAAAGTATTGCACTTGGGCAAAAAAAAAATGAGAGGCACAAATACAAGATGGGGGACACCTGGCTTCAGAGCAGTACATGTGAAAAGGATCTAGGAGTCTTGGTTGACCACAAACTTGACATGAGCCAACAGTGTGACGCGGCAGCTAAAAAAGCCAATGCAATTCTGGGCTGCATCAATAGGAGTATAGCATCTAGATCAAGGGAAGTAATAGTGCCACTGTATTCTGCTCTGGTCAGACCTCACCTGGAGTACTGTGTCCAGTTCTGGGCACCACAGTTCAAGAAGGACACTGACAAACTGGAACGTGTCCAGAGGAGGGCAACCAAAATGGTCAAAGGCCTGGAAACGATGCCTTATGAGGAATGGCTAAGAGAGCTGGGCATGTTTAGCCTGGAGAAGAGGAGGTTAAGGGGTGATATGATAGCCATGTTCAAATATATCAAAGGATGTCACATAGAGGAGGGAGAAAGGTTGTTTCTGCTGCTCCAGAGAAGCGGACACGGAGCAATGGATCCAAACTACAAGAAAGAAGATTCCACCTAAACATTAGGAAGAACTTCCTGACAGTAAGAGCTGTTCGACAGTGGAATTTGCTGCCAAGGAGTGTGGTGGAGTCTCCTTCTTTGGAGGTCTTTAAGCAGAGGCTTGACAACCATATGTCAGGAGTGCTCTGATGGTGTTTCCTGCTTGGCAGGGGGTTGGACTCGATGGCCCTTGTGGTCTCTTCCAACTCTATGATTCTATGATTCTATGATTCTATGATTCTATGATTCTATGATTCTATGATTCCTCTTTCCCAGGCTAAACATAGCCAGCTCCTGCACCTCATTAAGCTTGGTTTCCAAGCCTGATAATGAAATGTCACTCTCCTCTGGACACCTTCCAGCTTGTCAACATCCTCCGTAAATGGTGGTGCCCAGAAATGGACACAGTTATGTGTGTTATGTATTGAAGTTCTCACCCTGGCCACCAGGGGGTATTGTGTACAGTGGTGCCTCGCAAGACGAAATTAATTCGTTCCACGAGTTTTTTCGTCTAGCGAATTTTTCGTCTTGCGAATCACGAATTCCCATAGGAATGCATTGAAAATCAATTAATGCGTTCCTATGGTCAAAAAAAGTCCAAACAAAGCCAAATTTGGTACAACAACCTCCCCAACTGTTGCAAACCCCTCCCCAACTGTTCCCCCAGTCACCCAGCACACAGAAATTCAAATCCAGATTTTTTTAAAAAAAACAGCAGAGTGGCCCAATGGTCACAGAAAATCATAAAAATGCAGAAAAAAACCACACAAGCTTCCAGATTCTTGCAAACCCCTCCCCAACTGTTCCCCCAGCCACCCAGCACACAGAAATTCAAATCCAGAATTTTTTAAAAAAACAGCAGAGTGGCCCAATGGTCACAGAAAATCATAAAAAATGCAGAAAAAAGACACACAAGCTTCCAGATTCTTGCAAACCCCTCCCCAACTGTTCCCCCAGCCACCCAGCACACAGAAATTCAAATTCAGAATTTTTTTAAAAAAACAGCAGAGTGGCCCAATGGTCACAGAAAATCATAAAAAATGCAGAAAAAAGACACACAAGCTTCCAGATTCTTGCAAACCCCTCCCCAACACCAAGTCCTTGAATTCCAAACACCCCAACCCAAAATCCAAAACCCCCCAAAAAAGTTTTAAAAGCTTAACTTGGCTGCAAAAGAAGTTTTGGAAAAGCTTCAAAAATCACCAAAGTCTTTAAAAACCTCAAAAAAGGCTACTATGTACACTGCGTTCTATGAGTTGCTCCTTGAAGTCAAGTCGCAACTGTATTAACGGTGTTAAGACAAAGGAAACAAACTTGCAAGACGTTTTCGTCTTGCGAAGCAAGCCCATAGGGAAATTCGTCTTGCGAAGCAGCTCAAAAACGGAAAACCCTTTCGTCTAGCGAGTTTTCCGTCTTGCGAGGCATTCGTCTTGCGGGGCACCACTGTATATAGTTTTCACTCAGGTCCACGTCAGTTAGTTTAGGTGGGAAACCCTGGGGTGTTGCTGTTACAATGTTGACAGCCGGCTGCCTATAAAAGCAGGATGGCTGAGCTGTTTGAGTTCAGTTCAGTTCCAGCTTACTATAAAGAACCACTTGAGTCTGACCAAACTGCGGGAGGCAGTGGAAGACAGGAGTGCCTGGCCTGCTCTGGTCCAGGGGTCACAAAGAGTCGGACACGACTAAACGACTAAACAACAACAACAACAATTATATCCAAAGTCTATGTATCATTGCAAGAATAATTTGAAACCTGCCAAAGAGTCCAAGTGTTTACAGTGGTCTTTCAGATATAAATTTGTCACATTCTTTATTGAAGTTTTGATCCTCCTCATTTCTGATTTTCCGGTTAGTCTTGCCATCTCTGCATAATCCAATAGTCCACCTGGTAAGTATCTTGTCATTTTTCCAATTCTGGGCAAGCAACATCCCTACAGTTACATCTGGTGAAAAGTAAAGTATTCTTATTTGTTGTGCGCTTCTTTTCTCCTGGGTGTTATGGGGACTGTGATTTTCGCTTCCAAATGCCATTGTCTGTCCACAATTGCCAAAATGCAGGCAACGTGCCATCAGTAAGCTACTTCTTCTTCCAGAAGGTCTTATTTTCAGATTACTGTAAAGGGCACATCAACACCATACATTTCAAGCACTGCCACTTCAGAAGTCCTGGCTTCCCCCAAAGAATCCTAGAAAATGTAGTTAGGGGTGCTTATGTAGGTAGTTAAGTCCGCTCAGTGCACATCCAGTGCCTTTTGTCATCTAAACGGTTTGCTGCAGATCCAGGGTTCTTCGCCGGCCGCTGGAGCTGGCAACACTTTGATGGTTTATATAAGCACATTCTCCTCCTCCCCAAATTTTAAACCTAAAATTTCAAACAGAACATATGTTGAAATAATCATAACAATAATTTTATTATTAATATGCCACCCATCTGATTGGGTTGTTCCAGCCACTCCGGCCAGCTCCCAACAAAATATTAAAAACATCATAAAACATCAAACATTAAAAACTCCCAATACTGGGCTGCCTTCAGAAGTCCTCTAAAGGTTGTACAGTTCTTCATCTCCTTGACATCTGATGGGAGGGCTTTCCACAGGGCAGGGGCCACTACCAAGAAGGTTCTCTGTAACTTCACTTCTTGCAGTGAGGGAACTGCCAGAAGGCCCTCAGTGCTGGACCTCAGTGTCTGGGCTGAACGATGGGGGTGGAGATGCTCCTTCAGGTATACAGGGACAAAGCTATTTAGAGCTTTAAAGGTTATCATCAAAGGAGCCAACTCCTAGGTGCCGAGATCCCTTCGGTCCTCCAATAAAATATTTGAGGGGGCTGCCCCCCAAAATTAATGGGCAATGCCACTCAAATGGTGTGCATGTGTTGCATCTTGTGATCAGTTATATGAGGCAGGTCCAAGCGGGAGATAACCAGAGCATGCAGCACTCTGGTGAGACAGTGCGCAGGCAGATGGGGTCTCAGCTGGTGTACCAGATGGAGCTGGCAGAATTGACCTGCGCCTCCATGGACAGCTGTGAGTCCAAGAAGATCCCAAGGCTGTACAGCTGGTCCTTTAGGGGCCCAGTAACTCCATTCAGGACCAGGGAATACCCCAAACATGCCCGTCCGCTGTCCCCCAGAAACTGTACTTCTGTGTTGTTGGAATTCAACCTCAACCCATTAACCACAATCCATAGAAAATATCCATAGAAATATCCCTGAGAACTAGCAGCGGGAGAAACGCCAAGCATGGGTGCAGGGAGGCCTGGAAGCAAATTTTCACCTGAAGAAGACAATTGCATTCATATTCATATAATACAAATATTCATATTTCTAAGCAGCTTTTCCACCAAAATATTTTCTTTAGAATCTGGCCTAGAAAGGAAACATCAAACTCTTGCTGCGCTATGACTGAAAATGAACTTCTATGTGTGCTGCTGACCACAAGGTGGAGCTCTGTGTATAAGAAGCGAGAAGGCTTCTGGTCAGTTCCTCAACATTCAGGCAGACTACAGTGGTACCTCGGGTTACATACGCTTCAGGTTACATACGCTTCAGGTTACAGACTCTGCTAACCCAGAAATAGTGCTTCAGGTTAAGAACTCTGCTTCAGGATGAGAACAGAAAAAGCACGGCGGCGGAACAGCAGCAGCGGGAGGCCCCATTAGCTTAAAGTGGTGCTTCAGGTTAAGAACAGTTTCAGGTTAAGAACAGACCTCTGGAACGAATTAAGTTCTTAACCCGAGGTACCACTGTACTAGTAACAATTGTGAAACTACAAATGTGCCTTTGACAGTGGCGTGTTGTGAACTTTTTTGTAGGGCAACAGTTAGGACAAGTGGCACCAGCTTGTGATTGGGGTGGGGTGGAGAACAAGTGAGGTTGCAACATTGCCACGTCCAACACAGGCATCATGCCTCCCGCTCTAAGCCAGGCAAAAGCTTCTTGGGCTTTGGGAAGGAGGCGCCAGGTTTTAATACGTCAATACTCTTATTTACTGGGAACATTTAGGGGACTAGCCTAGTCCCCCTAGTCCATGGGTAGGCAAACTAAGGCCCGGGGGCCAGATCCGGCCCAATCGCCTTCTCAATTCGGCCCATGGATGGTCCAGGAATCAGCATGTTTTTACATGAGTAGAATGTGTGCTTTTATTTAAAATGCATCTCTGGGTTATTTGTGGGGCATAGGAATTTGTTCATTTTACCCCCCCAAAAAAAATATAGTCCGGCCCCCCACAAGGTCTGAGGGATAGTGGACCAGCCACCTGCTAAAAAGGTTTGCTGACCCCTGCGCCTAGTTCCTTGACTGCATGCCACTAGGCTAGGACCAGGAGCTTTGTAGTCCTTGAGGAATATACGTAGTGCTTTTTCAGAGGGTACTCAATGGTACTCAGTACCTGCGCCCTTTTTTCTTTTCCAAATGTTCAAAGCGTGGCACTTGCTGTAAGAACTTCATGGTGAATATTGGCACCTTATTTTCTATATTAAAAAAGCACTGCATATGTTGCTCCTCAAAGCACACCTGTTTGGGCAAGCATTCCCTTGATCTTTTCACTCAAACTATTTTAACTGTTACACTGTTTTAAGGGACTTGTTTATTACACATTTTCATTGTGGATGCTCACCAGTTATTGAAAATGGTGCCATCGATCCATTTCCAAGGCTCCTGGTCATTCATCTTTTGGAGACCAATCCAGTAGTCAGCAGGACCTTTGTACCGTCTCAAAAAGCTCTTAATAAAGAAAATAAATAAATAAATAAGAAAGAAAGAAAGAAAGAAAATACATTTCCAACCCTCATCCAATTGTGAATCTACTGTATTTGGGGCTGCAGACTGTGCTCTGTATCTTTCCACTCACCATCTCTTCTTGGGAGTCAATCACGACCAAAGAGGCATTGAAAGAGGCACAATAATTCTGGCTATATGTCCAGTTTCTGTAACTGTCCGAAAAATAGTAACATTTCCTTTGGTAGCCAATCCAGCCGTCCGGACAGCACACAGTTGGAGTGGAAGGAGAAGGTAGGGCGGTTGGCAATACTGCGCTTCTCCCTAGAAAGGTGTCAGAAAGTGAGACAGATCATTATCCATAGCTTATAAATAGTCCTACCCAAAATAAAGGTCAGGCAATGTCCTCCACTCATCAACATTATATCTGTGTGCTGCCTTTCCACAAAAGGAATCCTGCTCAAAGCAGCTTGCAACAAAGAAAATGGGAACACATCTCAAGCATCATAAGAACCATCACATAAAAATATAGTAAAACAAGAAAATCTTTAATAAATAATTAAAAATAAAAATATCGTATAACAACATAATTGCAAATACACCACACAGAAACTGTGTGCAGGAGGTCTCCGGTCAACCCCCATCATCTCCAGGTGGGGCTGGATAAGGGTGGGGAAATGAGGGTAGGAGGGAGGGCAGACAGCCCAGTGCCCATCTCTGTTCAAAAACTCAGGAGCTTGCAGGACATAGAGCAGCTTCTCTTGTGGCTCATCCAGAGACACTCAACCTCAATTGACTATCCATGAAATACACAGCCAGGGTCTAGTTGACTCTCCCTGAGATAGGCCTTTGATTAGAATTGTAAAGTACAATTTAAATCATTTGAAATTGTGTGTGTATTGTGTGTGTATATTGTTTGTGCATATTGGTCTATTATTACAGTACATGAAGTCTACCTTGCCTGAATGTGGGCCCCTATCCACAACTGCTTCCAGGCTACCTCAACTGAATAAAGCTATTCTAGCTGCTGAGGAGAGAAGATCTGTGAGAGCATGTGGCCTGTTGATAACCTGGCAGACGTTACATCAAAATGGCTCTTCACTTACTTGATAAACCAGTGCTGCTGCTGCTGATGATGATGGAAATGATCAGAATGACATTAAGCCCCAAGCTCACAATCATTACAAAAATAGCGAGTTTCCCTTTTCCATTATTGCTCAAACCTGCAGAGGGAAATAAAGTGTTAATGTGTCCTTGGTTTCAGCAAGATGCCAGACAAGTCCTTCTAGAAACTCCAAAGTATCTGGGGATTCCAAGTCTACCCAGGCTTGGGTCGTCCACCCACATTGAAGGTGTGAGTTCAAGGTTGCATCACACCAAGATGTCATACCACTCAACAGTCCTGATTTATGTGGGACATCTTGGAATTACAGACGCCAATCCTGGCTCCTGATTGCATCCCGGAATGTCCCATTTTTTGGTCTGAGTCTGACTTGTAGTGCAAGTCAGCTGGGGACCAAAAAAAGAAACGTCCCAATTTTGGTCAGTGGGATGTTGGAAGAGTATGAGATGAACCAAGTTCACCTGTGGCATCATGAAGCTCATTGGTTTGGTGCCTCCCACCACAAAGTCAGCCAACTGATAGGCCTCTGCGCATGACTGGTGAGTCACCAGTTATTTATTTTATTAAAAAGTATTCACATGCCACCATCTCCTAAACTATCAAGGTAATGCACAATAATGTTTACCGTATAGGCCTGAATATAAGCCTCTCTCTTTTTCCAAATTCTGACCGTGAAATATTAAAGTGCAGCTTATATTCGCGACCTTACAAAAATGGGCTTGGAGCGAGCATTTTCTCTCCCCCCCCCTTTAATTTTAAAGGTGTGGCTTATATTCAGGTACAGCTTATATTTGGGCCAATAAAGTATACAATAAAACAAAAAAATCCAGTAGAAATAGGGGAAAAAAGAAAAAAGAAAGATCCGCGTAACTATCGACCTATCAGCCTGCTGGACATATCATACAAGGTCTACTCTAGATTCTTGCTAGAGAAATTAATCGAGTGGGCAGAAGAAACAAAGCTATTTCACCCGGAACAGGCTGGCTTCCGTAAAGGTCACAGCACATCTGGCCAATGTCTTGTTCTATTTACCCTGATTGATAAATATCTAAACAGGTTCAACTGCAAACTACACGCGGCTTTTGTGGACCTGACCTCCGCTTTTGACTCCATCCCCAGAGATAGGCTATGGCAGAAGCTTAGTTACACTAACATAGATAAGAGACTCCTCCACCTTCTTATGGAAATTCATAATGACATATCGGCCAGAGTAAAATTCGGCCCTCTGGGAGCTCTATCTGATCCTTTCCCTCTGAATAAAGGGGTCAAACAGGGCTGCCTCTTGGCCCCTTTTCTATTCAATTTCTACATCAATGACATCGTTACAACCATGAAGGCCCTAAATCAATCTGTCCCCTCTTTACAACAGCTCAAGATCCCCATATTACTCTATGCGGACGACATGGTGATACTGTCTTTAACCAAGCAGGGCTTAAACAACATGCTCAGAGGGCTCATGACATATTGTGATACCAACCCCTCAAAATCAATTTCGCCAAAACCAAAATTCTTACTTTTGGCACGAAAACTCGGAAGCCTTTCTGGAATTTTGAGGGCCACTCTATTGAATATTGTTCAGCATTCAAGTATTTGGGTATCACTTTTCAGCATGGGCTTAGCTGGTCAGCTCACCTAAATATGACCATCCTGGCTGCCCGTAGAACCATCAAAGCCTTGGAGAAATTCTTCTATGCAAAAGGCGGCCAGTTGGTTCCACCAATCAGAAAAGCATTTATCAGCAAAGTCCTCCCGATGTTACTGTATGGGGTTGAAATCTGGGGGTGGAATTTAAAAACACTACAATCGCTGGAGATTCTGCAAAACTCTTTTGCACGAAAGATACTGGGCCTCCCAAGGGCTCAGTTGCTGCACAGTTAAGAACAGAACTGGGCCTCCCTCCATTGTTGCAAGAGCCCACATTAGAATCATTAGTTTTTACTGTAAATTATTCAATGCCCCAGGTTCCCTACTAGCTAGGCAAGCCTTTTTAACTTGTTCTCATACCAACAAATGGTCCAAGGCCATGGAGACTATTACTGCACGCTACTCCCTCCCAGATCTCGACACGCTGTCATCTTGGGACCAACATAAAATCCGGGCCTGGATTCTTACAAGAGACGAGGCCATGGACCGGGCACAGTCCATTACAGCTCGCCTCTCCATGTGGCTCCCTAAAGTGAAAGTGGTAAGATCACTTGCCAACTACTTGATAGACCTGACGGAGCCCAATTTGAGAAGAGCGTTTACTATGGCCCGTTTCCATTCTATACCCACGGCCTTCCTGCAGGGGATTTACTCTAAGACCCCTATTACTCAGCGTTTATGTCCATGCACAATGAATGAAGTAGAGGACTTCATACATTTCTTTTTCTACTGCCCTATTTATGAGCCAATAAGACCTAAGCTCCTCCTCTTGATCCCGTCCACCATTACATCTAAGGAAGACTGTTTGAAATCGCTTCTTGTGGACGCAAATCCCCAAATTTCACGTGGGGTGGCAATCTTTATAGTGCAGGCTCTGAAACTCAGGGCTACTCTGACTGGGTAGTGTGTCCTAGACCTGGACCTGTTTTAATTCTTTTTATTACTTTTTCAACCCAATGTGCCGAGCCTATTTTGGGGCCATTTTATGTTTTATATACATCCGCATTTTGGATTCTTGGCGCTGGCAACTAAATCTTTACATTATTGTCTTAGGGTAATTTAAATGTCATTACGCCAGTAATATTGCTTTGAATTTTGTTTGGTTGCTTGTCTCTAGTATTTTTGTCTTATTTTGCTATGGCTGTATGCTAATGCAATAAAGGTTTTGATTGATTGATTAATATAACTGGAAAATCAACATTTTAAACAGCTGTATAGGCTTGCTGGCATACGAAGAGGTCTTCAAGAGATACCTGGAAGTCAGAGGTGAAGATGCCTGATGTGTCTCTGCTGGAAGAGCCTTTCACAGATTGAACTGGTGGCGCTAAATGCCCAACTTCTAGCTGAGGTCACTTGGGCTTCTGAGACATGGAGACAACCAGATGTGCTCCTGTGGATGATCCTAATGATGAAGCTGGGATATAAGGGCTCAGGTGGCCCTTAAGGTATCCTGGACCAAAGTTCTTCTGGTCTTTGTATATGTGGACCAGGCATAGGCAATCTCAGCCCTCCAGCTGTTTTGGGACTACAACTCCCATCATCCCTAGCTAACAGGACCAGTGGTCAGGGATGATGGGGATTGTGGTCCCAATCCAGCTGGAGGGCCAAGTTTGTGCATCCGCTGCAAACATTTGAGCAGAGCTGCCACGTACTGTCAACCATCTGCCTCCATCAGAGGTCTAGGCATTCTACAAAATCTGGAGCTTCACAGCTGGGCTGGAGGGCAGCCCCACATAGAGCACTGTAGTAATCCAGTTTCTTTTTAAGAGCAAAAGTTGAAGGGACTGCAAGAACTGAATGGAATGTGATACATGCCAAATGCCACACGGACAATGCCAGAAGACAGAGGGAAACACAACCCGTCGTGTGAATCATTAACGGTTAGCCAATGTATGTACGCATGTGCAAGCAGGGAAATTTGAAATGTAACTGTTAGTATAAACTGAGCACTTGCACTTTTAGAGGGATTGTAATCCCATCCAGAACAGGTAAGCAGCCTACCTCCTGGCAATGCAGCTGTTGTAACATCTGTCCTGTTAAGCTGGACTTCCAGAAGTTATGCTTGTCAGTGTAAATTGCCTAATAGTGGCAGCCTTGTTAAATCCCCTGGCTGCCAAGATTGTTAACAGAAAACAGTGCCAGTCAAGGGAGCTGCAGTGCCATATACTGCTATATTATAACTATGTACACAGAGCTTTGGAGCAGGGGTGAGTAACCTGCAGCCCCCCAGATGTTGCTGGACTCCCATCAGCCCCAGTCATCATTGCCAGGGGTCACAGGTAATGGGAATTGTAGTCCAACAACATCTCGAAGGTCACAGTTACCCATCCCTTTTAGAGCATCTGAATTGCCCTCAAAACAGAAGTTGAAAGTTTTTTTTGCTGGCAGCATGGAAGTGACAGGAGATCTCTGTCCTATGTAGAAACAGAATGGGATATTTTGTTCACGCATCTCAGGCTAGTGCAGCAACCTCAAGCGAATAACCTGAAACCATTTTAATCTTGATTGTAAAACAAACCATTAAGGGGATACTGTTTGAGCTCTTGCACATTTCTGTATAACATAGGGTTGGTTCCAACACATCACGGGTAGATCCATTAATGTGCAAAACAAAATGCATTAAAATGAAGTGCTCAACCAAAGAACATTTTCCTGTGCTAAAAGAAGCTTTATTCATTCAATACAGGATAGTGAATTTTCAAGCTTGCCTCACCCAAATAAGTCAAAATAGCAGTTTGTAGTTCACGGACCAGGATTAGCAGATGTACTAAGGTTGCTATATTAATTATATGGCAAGGATGGCATAACTGACAGTTAAAGAAAACCAGATCCAAATGTAAGGACTAGCCAGCAAAGTGGTTCATCAGCAATATGCAGCTCTGAGTGTCTGCTTTCAGCAGATAATTTTTTTTCAGTTAATGCCATGTCACCAGCATGTAAACATGGCAATACTTGGTTCGTCAGATTGGGTTCCTGGAAGAAGGAGGAACCAATATGTTTTGAACGATAAGTTTTGAAATAGTGTTGCATAACGCAAAGTTGTGAAGCCAGGGGATTTGCACAGTATCGTTTGCTTCTCAATTTGCTGAGAATTTTATTTATTTATTTTTAAAAAAATTATAAATCACCCACTAAAATATAAATTTCAGTATGGTCTACTGTAATGTATACCATTCAACCCAATCAGATGGGCATCATACAACAACAACAACAACAACAACAACAACGCATTAAAGTGCCGCTGTGCTAGTCAATGCTGTGGACCATGCGCCTGCACTTGCAGATTCCTGGTCTCTTCGCTTATCAGTGACTCTCTAGGTCTGTGTGCAGCAGGAATGGGGACCTCGTGATATTCCAGATGTTTTTGGTCTACACTGGCCATGCTGGCAGGGAGTGATGGGAGGGAGTTGGAATCCAGCAACATCTGGCGAGAGACAAGCTCTCCATTCTTGGTGTACATGGAAGGGGAAGGGGAAGAACAGCCAGGAATCTCTCTCCTCAAGGGCAGCCTCACCCCCTTCTCCTTATGCATGCCTGCATGAGCAAGGATAGTTCCATCTGAGAGAGGAACTAAGAAGAGTCTGAGAAACATTCCTCAATTTTCACACGAGTGTCTATGTAGCCATCCTTTTCCAATGGCTTTTAATTGCACGAATAAATTAGCGTCCCCATGAATTTGATTAGTTGGCCTGCATTCTGCAGCTCTCATTCCAGCAGCAAATCCATAACTTTTCTGACAAACTCATGCCTTTCTCATCAGAACTCACTTACCGTATGGAAAATGGCCCTGATTCAGAAAGAAGGCTTCTCTTGCTTGTCTGGTGCTTCCATTAATTATGATTCCACTACATTCCCCATTCTCTGCTGCATCTGGATTCATGGGGAGCCTTTGCTCTGTTATTTCCGTTTCAGAGGAACCCATCTTTTCTTTCTCCCAGGAAGATCCACAGACCTCACAGTAAATGATTCCACTACATTCCCCATTCTCTGCTGCATCTGGATTCATGGGGAGCCTTTGCTCTGTCACTTCCGTTTCAGAGGAACCCATCTTTTCTTTCTCCCAGGAAGATCCACAGACCTCACAGTAAATGCTCCTCAGCTCTAGTTACACAGAGTTTTGCAATTTCTTGAGATATAATATGTTTTCCACTTCCCTGTTTTGTCTTCCTGACTCCTTTTATTCCCAATGAAACGAAAGCCTCTTCAGAGTCTGAAGCATCAATTCTGTGCTTTTGCCACACAAAAATTCATCGCAACATCAGTTTTTGCTATAGCATCAATGTCCCAAGATTCCTCTGTGGAGACAAAATTACAGAGCAGAGAAATAAATCATCTCTTCTTGAAGTCTTTAAAAGGTGCAGTTTTGCTTCCATACTAGTATAGTCCCCCCAAAAAGCCCTAAAGGTGGTCTTACATATACTAATGTACAGAGCTGGGAAATTCATATATGAAATATTGTTTCTTTTTAGTCTAAATGATTACAGTAATATTTCTACATCTACATGATGAAATGAAAGCAAAAGTGAAAGTGAAAGGGAGCAGCCATTGTATTATATTTCTCCCCAATCTCCTCCTACCCAGCTCCTCCTCCTCATGAAGCCTGTTTTCCAAGCCTATGAGGAAATGTCGCTCTCCTCTGCACACGTTCCAGTTTGTCAACATCCTCCTTAAATTGCGGTGTCCAGAAATGGACACAGTTGGTTCCTTGGGGTCATCATTGTAGTCACAACAGGAAAACCTGTTTTCCACTTCCTTTGCAATCTCACCATTTCAGCTCTTCGGGATTGAGGGTCAGGAAATTCTATCCCTTCCAGAGAAGAGCTGTCAATCCTCTGCCTATCTGGTTGCCTAGCATCTATGCCCCCTTCTTTGAAACTTGCTCAAACTGTCTCAGGAAACCAATATATTGGTAGGAAAGGGGGAGGGGCTGGGTCTGCTTCCTCCTGCAGCCAGTCAGGTTCAGAGTCAGAGCCTGTCTTTCTTCCATCTCCTTCCTCGCTTGACTCCCATACCTAAGGGGCCATTACCAAGATTTTAGCCCTTGCTGGATCTAGGAATTAGAAGGGTCTCAGGCATGCAGCCTACCCCCCCCCCATCTCCTCCGCTAAACTTACAACAATATCTAATTGGGAAACTACTATGCAAATATAGGACCACCCACTGGCCTGGCATTGACTCCCCTCAGTCTCCTCTTTCCCAGGCTAAACATAGCCAGCTCCTGCGCCTCATTAAGCTTGGTTTCCAAGCCTTATAAAGAAATGTCGCTCTCCTCTGCACATGTTCCAGCTTGTCAACATCCTCCTTAAATGGTGGTGCCCAGAAATGGACACAGTGCTCCAGGTGAGTGTTATATATTGAAGTTCTCACCCTGGCCACCAGGGGGCATTGTGTATATAGTTTTCACTCAGGTCCATGTCAGTTAGTTTAGGTGGGAAACCCTGGGGTGTTGCTGTTACAATGTGGACAGCCGGCTGCCTATAAAAGCAGGACGGTTGAGCTGTTTGAGTTCAATTCGGTTCCAGCTTACTACTGTATAAAAAACCACTTGGAGAAATCTCTGTGTCGTCTGCTATGTCCACCCACAACTTAATAGTGAGGTCTGACCCACTTTAATAAAGGTGTCCGGCACAAAAACCTCCGAACGGACTGCGTAAAATTTGGCAGGCTTAATCCAGAGAGGCTTATATTTCTGCAAATTTCTTCCACTTTTCTCCGAACCCTTTTTTAGATTCCCCATTATATTGAATGAGGGGGTGAGAGCTTTGGGTGGTATTCCTAGCAGTGCCAAGAGAACCTTCTGTCAGCACAAGGGAACATTCTCCCCCTCCCCTCCCTCACGACCCCCAGAGGGATTCTAGGAGTCTCCCCAATCAAACAAAGCCGTCCTTATATTATTGTAGAAATGTTTTTTCTTCAGCCGTCAACTCTTCCTCCTCCCCTCCTCCTTTCCCCAATCTCCCTCTCCCTTTCCTCCCCCTCCCCATATCCCCCCCTCTATACATTGTAGATTTTTTTTCTATTTTGGCAGAACCACAAATTTTGGTCTGAGGATTTGTGCTTTCCCCTCTGGGTTTCCTTAAAACAATAAAAACAAAAAGCCACCTTTTGGAATAAGTCTTCTCTGTCCTGCCCTGTTACTGTATTTATTTCCCCCGATTTCAACTATAAATTGGTGCTTTTCTTGAGTCAAAATGAGAGAGAACCCCTAAATATATTTTTAGAAAAAGAGCACTGCTTATATTATTTTAGAAATGTTTTTTCTTCAGCCCCAAACCCTCTCCCCCTTCCTCCTCTCCTTCTCCTTTCCCCAGTCTTCTGCCCCATCTCACCCTGTCCCTTTCCTCCCCCTCCCAATATTTCTCCCTCCTCCAATATATTATAGAATTCTTTTTACCTTCTGGCAGAATCAATCCAGCGCCAGGTTCTGCAGTGCAGGAACAAGTATCTGCTGCCTACCAAGCCCACAAGAAGCAAAATAGAAACTGTTTTCAAAACGACTGGTTCCTGCCATTCATCTCCTCTTCCTCCCCCTCGTACCGCCTCCTCGTTCTCTCCGGATAAGTCCTAGTCAACAGTTTCTGTACTTTTGAAAGTCAGCAGTTTATGGCTCCAGCCCCACCCAGCCTTTAATCTCACACACACACACCCCAGCCTGAATCTAGAGACGGCTTCAATTGCCCAAGGTCTTCTCCCCTGCTTCAGATAACAGTGCAATCCTCTCAGAGGCTGAAGACATTCTTGGCCACAAAGTGTATGATTTAAAATCAATCCCACAAACAAAGGGCAGAACCTCCCTGTGGGGAATGTGATCACCCTCAATGTGCAGAAGGAGAAACAGCTGCTGGCAACTTGGCGATTGCTGAGTTTTGAGACTAAGAAATGACAAGCTTGCTTGAAGCAAGGTAGGTATTATAGTAAAATAAAATTAAAAGTGTTATAGTGGCAGGAAAATGCCTGTGGAAAGTTGAAAAGAGCATTGCAAAAGACAATGAGATTTAAAAAATAATGAAAGATCTCGATATTTTGGAGGCAGCCAATGCAAGTGAAATATACTCAGAGTCGCAAAGTGATTTCATGCTCTTTATTCAGCTCATAGTGGTGAGGAGGAATGAATGAATGTCCCCTCACAGTATCTGCTTTATATACATTATTTACACAATGGGCTGCACATGATTGGCTAATTCTGGAATTCTACTGTAAGCCAATCAGGTTGTGGATTCACTTCTATCTGGAGCAGGATTGGGTGGTTCCTGCCAACCAATCATACTGCTGCATTGTTCTAGGACCAATCATACTGCTGCATTCTGAATCCTATTGTTCTAGGACCAATCAGACTGCTGCCTTTTGGATCCTATTGTTCTAGGACCAATCAGACTGCTGCAGTTTGGATCCTATTCAACTCAGTACATAACAGCAAGGTCTCACAAAAGATGGCAAGCATTTAGGTGCCCAAAATCTGCTCCATAAAAAATGGTTAAGTAGCAGAAAGCAATAAGAATTCATTATTTTTTGAAAGTAACAAACCTAACCTACTCATGCACAGGAGAGTCTCTGCCTTCCCCAACCTGGGAATCATATAATTTGTATAACAATTGATTGTGAAAAACCTCAGAGCGATTTACAAAAAGATAAAATAAAATTGAGAAAAAACACAACCCTAATTTAAAACATACAAAAGTAAAAATATTAAAGCAGATTATAATTACGTCAACTTTCTAAGCAACTGGTAGGCTTATGTACACAGGACTGTTTTTAGCTGGCGCCAAACTTATTTATACAGACCTATTGTCAGTAGCTGCTTCTAAAACCTGTTTCCTGGAACTGCTGTTCAGGAAGCCAACTGGGCCAGTCAGAACTAAAAGGCGTGGAAGTTCCCTCCCCTCCCCGCCTCTCCTTTCATTCTTCTCTCTCCTGCCTTCCCCTCTGGCTTGGAACAAAGACTGTAATTTTATAAACACCTCTTATGTCTATTCTTACTTGTCCTTTCTTCAAAAGAAAATAACGCTATGCAAAAAACGCATAGAAATTCTTTTTGCTCTCTGGCTAGCTCTCCCTCTCGTCCTCTTCCTGCCAGGAAGGGGAAGGAGGGTCAAAGTAGACTCCCGCCAATGATAGCGGCAGGAGGAGCCGCTGGCCGTTGAAGCCTTGCGGTTGCTGCATTCAGCTCCACCCCCGCTCCTCCTCCTGCTTCTCTGCCATCCCCTCCCTGCCCACAAAGGGAACTGACCCTACAGCAATCAGTCATCTATTTCCCTCACAATCTGCAGGTGAGCTGATAAGACTGAACATTAACAAGAACACAGAAGGTTGTAAAAGGTCGAACAGTGGTGCAATTAGGAGATTATTGCCTTTGGACTTGAAGGTCTTAATGGGACACCTGCCCTTAAAGGCATTGTGTACTAACTACTATCTGAAGAAGTGTGCATGCGCACGAAAGCTCAGATCAATAGCAAACGTAGTTGGTCTCTAAGGTGCCACTGGAAGGAATTTTTTTATTTTGTTTTAACTACGATCTTATCACTTCTGCTTCTGCTCATTCTGCTGAGTGGGATCTTTGACTTCTGCCTCAACGTGGAACAAACAGCCTAAAGATCAACTTAGCCAGGAGCCTGAAAACGCTGTTTTGAACTCGTTAATCTTAGCAAATATTTAACAAGTAAACATTAAGCTTTCAACCCAAAATACAGTTTAAGTCAGTACAAAAGTGCTAGGGTTTTTCCATGCAGGAAACTCTCCAGGACACTCATTAGCAGTGCTTTTTTTCCTGGGGGACACACATACCCCTAAACATTTTGTGAATCCAAATTTGGCCTCATTGAGAGACAGTATTTCAATATGAGTAGGAAAGTGAGAGTACCCTTGAACATTTCTTTAGAAACACAGCATTGCTCATAAGCATACTTAAAAGGTAAAGGACCCTGACAGTTAAGTCCAGTCGCAAACGACTCTGGGGTTGTGGCGCTCATCTCGCTTTATTGGCCGAGGGAGCCGGTGGTACAGCTTCTGGGTCCTGTGACCAGCATGACTAAGCCGCTTCTGGCGAACCAGAGCAGAACACGGAAACGCCGTTTACCTTCCCGCTGGAGCGGTACCTATTTACCAGTATCTACTTGCACTTTGACGTGCTTTCAAACTGCTAGGTGGGCAGGAGCTGGGACCGAGCAATGGGAGCTCACCCCATTACAGGGATTCGAACCGCGACCTTCCGATCGGCAAGCCCTAGGCTCAGTGGTTTAGACCACAGCGCCATCCGCATACCTCATGAGCATACTTACCCAGCAGCATTTTTGCTTGAGTAGTACCTGTGTAGTTATTCTGGCTCAGCACTGCTCTGGAAAGGTGAAACACAGTGGGTAGAATTGGGTATGTGTCAAGGTGATCATTCCATCAGCACAAACATTTTCAGATGGAATTCCCCCTCCCCAGATGGAAATATCTCCCCTCCCCTCCTCCATGCACGATGTTCTAGTGTTCACTTGACACCTCAGAAATGATTTGGAGTGGGGGGGGGGCATGTGGGGCATGTGGAAAGAAAATACCTACAGCAGTACCTCGGGTTAAGAACTTAATTTGTTCTGGAGGTCCGTTCTTAACCTGAAGCTGTTCTTAACCTGAGGTACCACTTTAGCTAATGGGATTTTTGCATTCTACACGAAATGTCCAGGTTTAGAGATATACCACACACACACACACACACACACACACACACATATATGGGTTCTTTTGAGGGGCACGCACATGCCACTGAAGAGTGGAAGAGGGCAAGCGCTTTTCAGGGCCTGCCACTCTCCACCCCCTTCACGCACGGCCTGGAAGTGCCACAACGGGGTCTGCAACACCACCACTGCCAGTGCTGCCATTTTGCCGCCAGCACCAAGGCTCCAAGCCACCAAATTGCCCGGCATGTGCCACTTCTGTCAAGCCGGTGGAGACCTTGCCGTACCGCTTCTCCCGACGCTCCCAGAGGGCAGTGAAGGAGGATGACTGGAGAAAGGTAGGTTAGGTGGGGCAGGGAGGGGGCGGGAGACAGAGATGTGGGATGGGGAGGGGAGGGGGAGTGCCCCGAATGCGTCTGGGTTTTTGCAGCTCAGAAGATGGGAACCCTAACATTGGTTTCTCAACACCTGCAATCCAAGCCCAGGAAGGAAATTACGCATCATTGCATGAACAGGTTCTGAAATCATGCTTCTATTTTCATCTCTTTCAGCTGGGCTGACCAGATTATGCGCACCACCTGGAGTACATCAATGTTAGTTTTGATCTCTTTGTTCCCAGACATCTGTTTAATTTTGAGGTGGGTAGTCTTGTCAACGCTAACATCATGTGAACATAAAGCAGCTTTTACTCCGTTTGGTAATGCTTCATATGTAGACACAGGAGAGAATAAATACTCAACTAAGCCTCCCCCAACCCCATGTTGCTGGGAGAGATAATGAAGGGAAAATATTACACACCCCTCCTGACATTAACTCCTCTCCTGATTCTCATCATTGTGTGATAATGATACCATCTAGTAATACTGAGAAACCAGTCTTATAACTGATTACGATAAGTAGGACTAGTTTCTCGGCAGCCTTATGAACGCATCATGTATTTTTGAATCTATAATGTGATTATTATTTTTAATTATAAATTTTTATTAGTTTTCAGTTTTGTTGTTGTTGTTGTTGTTTAGTCGTTTAGTCATGTCCGACTCTTCGTGACCCCATGGACCAGAGCACGCCAGGCACTCCTATCTTCCACTGCCTCCCGCAGTTTGGTCAACCTCATGCTGGTAGCTTTGAGAACACTGTCCAACCATCTCGTCCTCTGTCATCCCCTTCTCCTTGTGTCGTCCATCTTTCCCAACATCAGGGTCTTTTCCAGGGAGTCTTCTCTTCTCATGAGGTGGCCAAAGTATTGGAGCCTCAGCTTCAGGATCTGTCCTTCCAGTGAGCACTCAGGGCTGATTTCCTTAAGAATGGATACGTTTGATCTTTTTGCAGTCCATGGGACTCTCAAGAGTCTCCTCCAGCACCATAATTCAAAAGCATCAATTCTTCGGCGATCAGCCTTCTTTATGGTCCAGCTCTCACTTCAATTACATTCCAATAATAGCCTCATTATAACAGTACCAATTTATAATACAATTATTAATGCTAATCGTTCAAACTTGGCACAAAGACTGTAATTTTATAAACATCTCTAACGTCTATTCTTAATTGCCTTGTCTCCAAAAAAACAAAACCGCTATGTAAAAATCGCACAGAAATACTTTCTGCTCTCTGGCGTTGCATGATTATAACGCATTCAAAACATTGTTTTGACTAATGAAGCTGAGTCCTTGGTCTCTTCAAAACTCTTAGCAGTTTTGTACAGCCTAATTTCCAGCCGGTGGTGGGTGCAGGACGCCCCGGGTGTCACCACTGAGGGGAGTGACAAAATGCTGGGCAGCACTCACTGCGGGGTTAGGGCTACAGCTTAGGGCTCCACTCTCTTGGGGGCCCCCCAAAAATTTAAAGGGGAAAAAACTGGATGTACTTTGATAAAATACATATTTTGTTATGTGCAAATGGCTTTGGATACCTATTATCTATAAATTGCCATATAGCATATATTCAACACAAAAAACAGCAACAATTTGTTGCTGACAAAGGATCGCTGGACATATAAAGGGCCCCATTACCTTTAGTAGCTTAGGGCCTCATCAAACCCAAATCCGGCCCTGCTTATGGCATATATGCCTTATGCCTTATGGCATATATGTCTAATGCCCCATTACCTTCAGTAGCTTAGGGGCTCATCAAACCTAAATCCGGCCCTGTTTGCAGCAAGCCAAATGTTTATTCTGGAACTGCTGTTAGTTTGTTTGAAACCAACAGGGCAAGCCAGAACAAAAGGGGTGGAATTTCCCTCCTCCCCTCCCCTTCATTTTTCTTTGTCTCACCTTCCCCTCTGGCTTGGCATGAGGGCTGCTCCTGGGAGCCAAACCGTTTTGGGCCCCCTAAATATTTTTAGGGGATCGGGACCAGGTCCCCCAATGTCCCAAAAGTGTGGAAGCAAAACACGGAGGGGGTGGAACACCGCTTGATTGTAAAAACAAAAACCCTGGGAGCGGTTTACAAAAATATAAAACAATAAAACCTGGGGCGGGCAGGCATGGGAACAGCCCTCATTTAAAACATATAAAAGTTAAAACAATAAAACAGATTATAATGTTTTTAGCTGGTGCCAAATTTCCTTATACAGGCTTGTTGGCAGCAGCTGCTACTAAATTTCCTGGATTTCTGGAATTGGAACTGATTTCCTGGAATTGTTACTGCAGTAGTTGGTTTGAAGCCAACCGGGAAGCCAGAACCAGAAGGGGTGGGATTTCCTTCCTTGCTTCTCCTTTTCCCCTGAATTCCCGTCTGGTTCAGCATGAGGACTGTTTATTAAAATGAGCTTCATAAGAATATAAGAACATCCAAAGAGCCCAGCTGATCAGGCCATGGGCAAATGGAGTCCAGCACCCTGTTCTTACAGGGGCCACCCAGATGCCTGAGGAAAACTCACAAGAGCGCTCTGCCTGTCTGCAGTTTCCAGAAACTCAGAAGGAGGCAAAGCACAGACCTCATGGCTAGTAGCTCTCAATAGCCCTCTCCCCCACGAACCTTTCTCGCCCTCTTTTGAAGCCATCCAAGTGGGGGATCATCACTGCCTCCTGGGCGAAAGAGCGCCATAGTTTAACCATGCGCTGGATGAAGACGAACTTTGTTTTCTCCTGAATTTTCCAATGTTCAGCTTCCATGGATGTTTCCGTGGAGTTCTGGTGTTATGAGAGAGGGAGAAAAACTTCTTTCTCTCCACTTTCTATGAGGCTCATTCTATCTTGCATAATTATTCTTTTTGCCTCCTTTTGGGATTAATCCAGCAGCCAGTTTCTGCAGTTTCTGATGCTGGCAAAGCCTTCAAGACGACTGCTCCTTGGGAGAAAGGCGATGGCAAACCTAGACAGGATCATTAAAAGCAGAGACATCACCTTACCAACAAAGGTCTGTGTAGTTCAAGCCATGGTTTTCCCAGTAGTGATGTATGGTAGAATTATGATGCTGGAGGAGACTCTTGAGATTCCCATGGACTGCAAAAAGATCAAACGTATCCATTCTTAAGGAAATCGGCCCTGAGTGCTCACTGGAAGGACAGATCCTGAAGCTGAGGCTCCAATACTTTGGCCACCTCATGAGAAGAGAAGACTCCCTGGAAAAGACCCTGATGCTGGGAAAGATGGAGAGCACAAGGAGAAGGGGACGACAGAGGACGAGATGGTTGGACAGTGTTCTCGAAGCTACAAACATGAGTCTGACCAAACTGCGGGAGGTAGTGGAAGATAGGAGTGCCTGGCGTGCTCTGGTCCATGGGGTCATGAAGAGTCAGACACGGCTAAATGACTAAACAACAACATAACAATACCAATTTATAATACAACCAACTAATCAAGGCAAGGCAAGGCATTTGGGAAGCTCCTATTCCACGCCTAGCTTTCCTCCAGTTTCCATGCCTACTTAAATAGCCTTTTTTTGTTCTGAGGAAAGGAGCTGAAACGCGCAAAAGCTCATGTCTGCCAAAATGCCTTGTTGATTTTTGACTCCGAGAAATGCTTCGAATTCTTTGCATCTGTGGTCAGCGATTCCACTTTGTGGGAAGGCGTTGCTATTTCCTTTTTGCTATCCTTTTTTATTATTATTATATACTTTTTTTTGCTTTAAACAAATACATATAAATATATTTATATGTATTTGCTATCCTTTTTGTCTATTGAGATCGGTTGCATCCGTGGCTCAGAAATGAGTGAAGCGCGTGCAGAAACCAGGTGCTTTTTTTTTCTTTAAAAATGTTTAGGGGTACTGTCATTTTCCTACTCATATTGAAATACTGCCCCTCAATGAGGCCAAACTTAGATCCACAAAATGTTTAGGGGTATGCTTGCCCCTGCGTCCCCCCAGAAAAAAAGCACTGCAGAAACCCATCAACTCATATGGCTTCAAAGGAGTTTAGACAAACTTATATGGCTGTAATTGCTACTGGACCATTTTCATGTTTTTATTTATTTATTTCGACTGCGTCAGACGAACATGGCTACCTACCTGAATCTTATATGGCTGTGTTCAGTTTCCACTGCAGCCTCTGAATGCCAGTTTCTGAACACCAGTTTCTGGAAATCACAAGGCTTGCCAGAGGCATCTAGTTGGCCACTGTGAGAACAGGATGCTGGACTAGATGAGCTATTATTGGCCTGATCCAGCGGGACTTAAAAAAAAATCTTAAGAAAGATTTAAGGAAGAGAGGGGCGTTCTTTTGTCCTTTATCTTATCTTGAGGCTGCAGGTTCAAAGCAGGAAACGCATTGAATTTCCTGACCACCTTCCCCCCCTTCCTTCCCCCCTAGACTGCAAGAAGATCAAACGTGTCCATTCTTAAGGAAATCAGCCCTGAGTGCTCACTGGAAGGACAGATCCTGAAGCTGAGGCTCCAATACTTTGGCCACCTCATGAGAAGAGAAGACTCCCTGGAAAAGACCCTGATGCTGGGAAAGATGGAGAGCACAAGGAGAAGGGGACGACAGAGGACGAGATGGTTGGACAGTGTTCTCGAAGCTACAAACATGAGTCTGACCAAACTGCGGGAGGTAGTGGAAGATAGGAGTGCCTGGCGTGCTCTGGTCCATGGGGTCACGAAGAGTCAGACACGGCTAAATGACTAAACAACAACATAACAATACCAATTTATAATACAATTACTAATCGTTCAAATGCCAAATTGTATAATTTAGATAAAGTGCCGCCCCCCATGTGCTAGATTTGACGGTTTGATGATTTTCTTTATTTCTTCATTCCAAAATCTCATTAGTTTCAATTACATTCTGGTCATAATAATAATAATAATCCCATATAATGTGATTTTGAATCATGTGAAATCAGCAGGACCCCAACATTTTAAGAGGGCAAATTGGGATACCTCACACCATCTCACCACCCCACTGCTCACGCCCACCAACACCCACCCCTCCCTTCCCTGCCCACATACTCACTCCCTCCACCTTCAAACCTTTGCTGTCCTCCTCCTCTGTGGCTGCAACCTCCTCCTCCATGGCCATGGCCTCCTCCCCATCCCCGGCCAGCATGGCCTCCCAGAGGCGCTTTGGCACGACCCTTTGATGACCCTTTGATGATTGCCAAAGCAATCCCAGAAGGTGGTCTGGTGCTCATCCGCAGGGTCAGATGCAGCCTTCCTGACTCATGCCAAGGTGCTAGTCTTCATGGGATATTCCGGGATCAAAACAGAAGCTGGGATTGGCTTCTGTGATCCACAATATCCAGCTTAAAATGTGTCAGTTGTGGGGTAAAAGGTAAAGGACCCCAGGATGGTTAAGTCCAGTCAAAGGCGACTGTGGGGTTACGGCTCTCATCTCGCTTTCAGGCCAAGGGAGCCGGCGTTTGTCCATAGACAGCTTTTGGGTCATGTGGCTAGCATGACTAAACCACTTCTGGTGCAGTGGGACACCGTGATGGAAATCACAGTGCATGGAAACGCCATTTACCTTCCTGCCGCAGCAGTACCTATTTATCTACCCATGCTGGTGTGCTTTCAAACTGCTAGGTTGGCAGGAGCTGGGATGGAGCAACGGGATCTCACCCCGTCGCAGGGATTCAAACTGCCAACCTTCCGATCAGCAACTCCAAGAGGCTCAGTGGTTTAGACCAGGCACATCCAACTCCCAAGGGACTGCGATCTACTCAAAGTATAAAAAGGCTGTGATCTACCCATTGTCATTGCCAGTAGTTAAGTTGTTATGATTTTGGGGAGGGAAGCCAAAGTTGTTGAGCTTCTTTTGCAAAGTATTCGCCAGGTTGGTTTTAGGAGAAGGAGTGTGTTAAATCAGTCGCTCAACAGTCAGCTCACCTCCTGCCTTCCCAAACTCTGCCACCCAGGCAAGGAAATAAACCTCTCAAAGCGGGGGCGGGGCACGTAGCAATCGCTTAAGAGCAACAGGGAGATCACTTACAAAACTACAGCGATTGACCTAGGACACCCCCGCGATCGACCGGTAGATTGCGATCGACCTCTTGGACATCTCTGGTTGAGACCACAGAGCCATCCGCTCCCCTAGTTGTGGGGCATGCCTGACTAGCCCTCAGGGCTCTCCATAGGCCATCTCCCCCCTCCAACCCACACCACTGTCACTCCACACCTTCCTCAAGTCTGGCTGAAATGTTGGAGTGCAGCTGTCAGTCAGTGTGGAAAATACTGAGGTAGACGGATCAATTTGCCTGGCTCTGTAAAAGTCAGCTTCCTGTAAGCCACCTCACGCTGCTCCTTTCAACTTCCATTTTTGAAAGTTGTAAGGGACTGCGGAGTCTGCTTCTGAGAACAGCCGTGGGGAGGAGAGGTGGCTTCCATGGGATGCGAAATGGAAAATGCAAGACCTTTTCTTAAAAGAGACAGATGCAAGACAGGCACCATTTTGATTTGCTTATGCAGTGCTTGCTATGGCTAGTATGTGCCATAGGCAAGAGCGAAAGAGAGAGAAGGGGGGGGGGGGAGTCGAGGCCTTTTTTAGTTTATGGAAAAAAGAGAGAGAAGTGCTTTTTCTACAGGAAGTGGTTATGCAGATGTTTCCTGTGTAATCGATATGAAGAGCATCGTGATTAGCTAGAGTGGTTAGAATGACATTAAAGGAGTGGTGTTTATCTGCAGGTGTAAAACTCTGTGGAGGCACAACACAGGGTGCAACCCAAAATAACCCTTTTGTTTTGTTTGTCTTGTCTTGTTTGTCAGCTGTCATGATGCACCTTGAAATAAAATCTGAATCTATTTAAAATCTGAATCTATTTGAAAGCAGTGCTTTCTCATCATTGCTGGGACTGAGTGACTCCGTTGTGCTCGAACCTCTTGAACCTCTTGCTCTCCCCTCCTTGAGTGGTTCGTACCTCTCATCAGTTGATGGGCAAGATGGGAGCCTGCCTTGCCCCAGGAAGGCAATAATCAGGACTCCACTTTAAGCTAGGGTTACCAGATGTCCCCGTTTCCCGGGGACAGTCCCCGGATTTGCAGATAAGTCCCCGGACAAATTCCATCCCCGGAATGTCCCCAGATTTCATCTAATGTCCCTGGGAAACGCAGCAGCAGCAGTCTCAGCAGCCAGGAGCAGTTGGCTCTGCCTGGCTTCAGGAGCTGCTCAGAAGTCCCCATATGATGGTGGTGCAGGGGTTCAAAGAGGCAGCTTCCGGGCGGCCTCCACCTTCCCTGACCCCAGCAACTGAGCTGTGAAGGGGGGCTTCATGCTGCCCTTTGGAGCAGCCTCCCAACTCCTACTTGCATGCAAGCAGGAGCAGGGCAGGGATCTCTCAGCTGTGAAGGGAGGCTTCACGCTGCCTATCGGAGATTGCGTGTAAGCAGGAGAGGGCAGGGATCTCTCAGTTAGGCAACGGGAAGCCTCCCTTCCCAGCTGAGGGATCCCCATCCCCTCCTGCTTGCACGCAAGTAGGAATGGGATTGGGGCTGCTCCGATGGGAAGGGAGGCATCGCGCTGCCCGAGCTGTGCTGCCACCGCTGCTCTCAACTCTACTTCTCCCCTTCCATCCCTGACCCACCGTGCACTGCTTCCACATCACCACCACCAAAGAACCAACAACTCAGGGGCTGCCCAGGTTCATGGAGAAAGGAGATAGAAGCCTCAGAGGAAGGGGAAACATGGCGGTTGAGGTCAAGGCGGTGGCAGCAAAAATGGAAATGTGTAATTTTAATTAGAGAAGTGGTGGGGTTTGGGAGAGCTTCCAAAACTTCCCCCACTAGCTGTGTCTCTTTTTCACATCACACTTCCTCCTTTCTTCTTCCTCTTCCCTGTAGGTTGCAAGTGAGTTTGATGAAAAACACAAAACAGGAACTCCTTTCGTAAATTATCCAACTTATTTTCAGAAAACAAAACTGAGGAATGATGTTGTTGAATACAGTCATACCTAGGGTTACAGACGCTTCAGGTTGCGTGTTTTTGGGTTATGGATGCGCCGAAACCTGGAAGTACTGGAACGGGTTACTTCTGGGTTTCGGCATTCGTGCATGCACAGAAGCGCTAAATCGTGCTTTGCACATGCGCAGAAGTGCCGAGTCACAACCCGTATGTGCTCAGATGCGGCATTGCGGGTTGCGAACATGCCTCCCACACGGATCACGTTCGCAACCTGAGCATCCACTGTATTCGGGGGGGGGGGGACAATACGCCAAACCTAGCCCCCACAATGACCCAGAGCTAGTCCCTTTCCAGGGCTTTGTGGGGAAGAATCAGCAGCTGCACGGAAAGGCTGAGAACATTTGGAGAATATTGTTCAAGGTGACTTTTTGGGGTTAGGGGAGGGAAGGTGCAATACAGAACATTATCAAAGCATCTTTTCTGAGAAATTTATTCTCAGCTCTGTATCTGAGCTGCTTATCAACACCCACAAGTGTCAGCTAACCGCATGCGTGACATCCTCTTATTTTTTAATCTGACTTTTGTACGGTTAGTGACTTTTGTACGGTAAGTTTAATTCTAAGCATTATCTTTCTACTGCACCAAGCAGTCATTGCAGAGGTCACCCCTGAACATTTCATAAACAAAAGAAAGAACATGGAAGAGAAAATAAGATTTATTTTTTGAGGGGGGCGATAACAGAAAGGAAGGAAGGAAGGAAGGAAGGAAGGAAGGAAGGAAGGAAGACAGGAAAATTGGGGAAATGAAGGATTGAGAGGACCAAGAGAAATAGAAGTGCCTTCAAAAGAATGGAAGAGCAAGCAGATGGCACCCCCTCCTAATTACTTGGGGAAAGAGATTATCTCCTTTCTTAATCTATAGTTGCATACTGAGACTCCCTTCCCACACAAAGCATAATTCTGAAGCCAGACTGGCCAATCATGAGGGATGATCCCCACTTCTCCTCTACAGGAAACAATGCAATAAAATGTAAATATGTCCTTTATTGCATTTATAATGCAGCACTGCCCAACCTTCTGCTTCTCTTTACAGTGGTACCTCGGGTTACAAACACTTCAGGTTACAAACTCCGCTAACCAGGAAGTAGTACTTCGGGTTGAGAACTTTACCTCAGGATGAGAACGGAAATCGTGCGCTGGCGGTGCAAAGGCAGTGGGAGGCCCCATTAGATTTATTAAAGGAACATGATGGAAAATGGAAATTAAGAGATTATGATGAGATCAAAGACCACTTTCAGCATTGGTTGCATCGACAACTATATGAAACGCATAAAGAAGACAGCAATAAAGGATTTAGTTATACAAGATCTAGGTTTCAAATGGAAGTGATTGAAGTGAAAGTGAAATTACTGAAGGCTGCATACAGCATACTATTAGAATGGGAGACAAAAGATGAAGAGGTAAAATCAGTTATGATTAAATGGGCACAAGATGTAGGTCACAACATTATGATGGAAGATTGGGAAAAATTATGGAAAACTGATTTAAAATTTACAGATTGTTCCCTATTGAAGGAGAATTACATGAAGATGATGTACAGATGGTACACAACACCAGTGCAGTTAGGGAAAATGTACAAAACTAGTTCAAATATATGTTGGAAGTGTAAGGAAAAGGAGGGGACATTTTATTATATGTGGTGGGATTGTAAAGTAATTTAAAAAATTGGGAAATGATATACAACGAATTGAAGAAAATGTTCCATTTAACATTTGTTAAAAAACCTGAAGCATTTTTATTAGGGATTGTAGGGAAAGATCTGCCAAAAAAGCTGAAAAACATCTTCATGTATGCGACAACGACCGTGAGAGTTTTAATAGCACAAGGATGGAAGACTGAAGAAACCCCAACTAAAGAATCATGGCAAGAAAAATTGATGGACTATGCAGAACTGGCAAAATTGACATATAAGCTATGGGACAAGGATAACTGTGACTTTAAAGATGAATGGGAACCCTTTACAAAGTATTTAAAGACGCAACAAAGCGAACTGGACTTCTTGGCTGGTTTTGAATAAACATTCACAAACTTTTTTATTGATAATAATCAGCTAAATAGTTTGAGGATCTATACAACTGTGTAACATGCAGAAAACAGCATTTTTAGGGAAATCAAAGACTGGAACTGAGGGAAGTTGGGGGCTGTGGGGGGAGGGAGGGGAGGGAGGAAAATGGGGAAAAAATAAGGATGATATGTTTCTGGATAATAAGTTTTGTTTTAATTTTGAATAAAAAAGTTATTTTAAAAAAAGAACAATTTCAGGTTAAGAACGGACCTCCAGAATGAAATAAGTTCTTAACCCGAGTTACCACTGTATTTCTAAAACAAGCACACAGCAGTCTTGGCATTTGTTGAAAAGCTTCTTATGGATGCCGGTATGACATGGGTTGAATTATACCTTGGAGCATAAGCTCTTAATGAATGTTGGAACAGCTTGCATCCTGCCTAGGCAAGTCCAAATGAGCTGGTTTTTCCTCATAGCCCCACCACCTTCAGCTCCTACAAACTCCTGGGGCTTGGTAACCAAGATTATTATTTTTACCCTTCTCATCTTTATATTCAGGGCCTGTGAGAATTTGAACTCCTGCCAGACATCGGGGCAGATTTAGGGGGGCACAGAGCCTTGGGGTGCAGCAGAGGCCACCACAACTATTTTATAGAATGGAGGGCAAGGGACGCCAAATTTTGAGGCCCCAAGATATTCCCCACTGCTGCCATTCCATGCAGACAGTGCTCACATTCATGAGGACAAGTCCATTTTTCCTTTGCCTCTCTTCTACTGGGTGGCTGCAGCCATTTCACGAAGAAACCATGGCACATGGTATGTCAGGGAATGGAAGGCGGAGGGCTTCCCCTTTGTCCCACAGCTGCAGTTTCCTCCCCTGCCTTCGCTGATTATGAGGTCTTGGGCTGAGTGCCCAGACTGTGAGATTGCCTTGACCATGACTTGTGTGAGAAACTTGGAGGCAGAGAGGGAGAGGCTTTGTGGAAACGAAACTTAAACAAGAAACTTCAAAACGAAACTTCTAAGAATTTGTAAAGTACCTAGAACTGTTAAAAACAGGAACTGGGTGGGGGTGGGGAGTTAAACGACTTCCCCAAAATCCCAAGTCCCCACCGCAGCCTCTAAAACGTAGTCTATAAATCTGTAGCAATAAGTGGCTACCAGGTATCATACTGTTTCCTGCGACTATCCAATATAGAAGCAAATAATCGCCAAAATTCAACAGTTTGACCCATTTCCTTGGTTCCAGTGGCTAATGACTTCTCTGGAAGAGGGGAATCCAGGGCTTTCCCTGCCTCCATAATCCCTGAGGCATACAGTCACATACACCTCCCCCCTCCCCAGAGAGTGAGGAAAAGATAACAATGGACCACACAGATAGCCTTTGATGGAGTTTGCTGAAGCCAGGTGTTCACAAAGCCCATCTTCAGGAAAGCCCTGAGGGCAAGGATAGGTGTAAATAGTTTTATTCTTCTCTTGGTGGTGGGTACTTAGAAGGTGTCTGAATCTGATATGGGGATGAATGATGGACTCATGTTACCACGCAAGATCCCCTCCTCCTTGGTGACACGTTGGGGATGTATCTGGAAATGTATTATGGGAAGGGGGGAAGGTCTTAAAAGTCCATGAAACCCCATGCTCGGGGTTCCTACTCCATGCGTGTGTGAACCTTGTTGCAACAATAAAGATCAGGTCTACTGAGCGCTGATTTGCTTCTTTACTTGGTTGGAGATTCCTTCTTTTGCTAACCAGGAGAGACCTGCGGGGAGTGGCACCCTGACCAGCTGGGCAGCGGAGTAAACCTGCACCCAGAATTTTTCCGTAACAGCACTAAATCACTCAGTTTGTGCAATGAAGAAGAACACAACTCGCTGCAGCAAACAATGTGCAGTGCAAGATGCATTGATGCCTTGACCACTG